TTAAATTGCTTCATATCTTACCCAACTAGCTTACCTCTTCTCTTCTAGATATGCAAGCGACCTCACACTTGATTTAGCCTACGGTATGGACGAGCTAACGGCAGATGAGGCATACAACAGGACGGCTGAGGATGCGGTTCATGCCATTACCCACTCTGATTCCATGGTCGCTTCACTTGTCGACTTCTTCCCGATCTGTGTGTACACCTGATTCACACGTAGACCTCTGCTCATCGTGTTCCGTGCATGCAGTGAAGTATGTCCCTTCATGGATGCCCGGGGCAGCATACAACCGAGATGCGGTAAAGGCAAGGCACGTGATACGTCAGATGCTGGACGTACCGTTTGATTTGCTGCTCAAGAATATAGTGAGCGTCACTCGGCGACTTGCCTTGGCTTCGTCTGAGGTATGGCATACAGACATTTGGAGTGTACAAGCCTTCGTTCTCCTCAGCGTGGATTGAAGCAGTATCTGATAACGGACAACTTCCGCCACGAGTCGCGTATAACATCAAGGGCGCTGCTGCCACTTTATACGTCGGTAGGTGCACTTCGTGTTTGTTTGGGAGCGTACCTGACATGTCACCGCATAGCCGGTGCCGAGACGGTGGGCATGATACATACAATTCTAAGAGACATTGGTAGCTCTAATTATGGCGTTGCGCAGAGTGCAGTCGTGCTCTTGACCCTCATTCTGACCATGACGCTCCACCCTGAAGTCTTGCGGAAAGTACAGGAGGAAATAGAGGCTGTCGTCGGTGCCGAGAGACTTCCCGAGCTCTACGACAGGAAGCAGTTGCCTTACCTTGATTGTGTGCTGTTGGAAGTCTACCGGTACGATAATGCACTACTTGACACAACTCAATACTAACGCCGAACCAGCTGGAACCCTCCCATACCCTTAGGTACGTTGGCTTGCATTCACAGCAGCGGAAACGTCTTGAAATTCCCCTCCAGGTGCCCCTCACGCTCTAACACAAGACGACATATACAAAGGCTACTTCCTTCTGAAGGGGTCGAGTGTGATTTCTAACATTTGGTGGGCCCAAACTCGAACAGCTCTTGCCTTGTCTCATGTACTAGCAGGGCTATCTCGCGCGATCCATCTATATACCCTGATCCAGATGCGTTCCGACCTGAGAGATTTGAGGAAATGGATGCCGAGAAAGTCAAGGCGTGCGATCCAAAAAGGTATATCTTCGGGTTCGGCAGGTGGTGAGTCACGGTGTGCTCATAGCTGAACACAATCACCGCTTACTCGACGGATATTGTTCTGGTTGTAGTATCTGTCCCGGACGTCATTTAGTGGATATGAGTGTTTGGCTGGCAGCAGCGATCATCCTAGCTTGTCATGAGTCGACATGGCGCCTAGCCATCCTTTTTGATTTTTTCCCTTTTGCAGGCTCGAACCCGCAACCTCTGTACTACACATCTGAAACGGACATTTCCTTATCTACTGTACGATCAGATTAGATGGGCGGCAGTGCGCGGCACAGCTCGGGCCCCGCTGACACAGCTACTCTGACTCACCGGCCCCTGGGGCTGCGTCAGCATGCTGTGCACGGACCAGCTACGCAAGGACCAATACGCACAGCCTGCCCTTATCTTCCCCTGTATATAAGCCGGCCTCTGCTGCCCTAGGGACCTTAGTTTCAACCTCTTGTCCCTAGCCTTGGGTTTGAGCATTGCTCACCATTGCTTCGGTGAGATCCAGTTGAACGCTGATAGGCGCCAAGCCCCTTTGGGCCCCGATACACCTCTTTTCGGCAGTCGCATCCCGCCCGGCACTTCGACTCAGTCTCCCAACAGTTCGATTTCGCCTTCGACGCTCTTCGACATCTTCGACGGTGCGCGACGCTTACTCGAAGCTCGGCACGGTCGTCCCGATGCCTCGCGCGTAGATCTCGGAACATCTTCCGCATTCGGCAAACAATAGGGCCACTTGACGCCGCTCGTCCAAGCGCGCGCATTGCTCCATGCCACACCGACGTAGCCGGTCTTTCCCGATTAGGTATCGAACCTCGCGGCATGCCTTCAATGACGGATACCGGTCCGAAGTGGCCATATGTTTCTCTTCATCTCCGCGTTCGGCATGACGTCACTCTACCGATGGACTTGATGCGTGCCACTCGGTGAGGCAGATTCGTGCGGAACAATGCAAAGCCCCTTGTACTAGTGTGCCACTCTCGATAGTCGTAGCATCCTATGCGTAGTATAAAATCTGTCGTACTTCTCTCCAAAAATACAAGATCCGGTTCCCCCCTCGAGTTCAGAGCTCATAAGTCGAGTTTGCCCCGCGTCTAAGCCTTCAACTGTGTCACTTCGTCCCTCGCTGCGTAACCTTGAAACCTCGTCCACTGCGTTTACTCGTCGATACTATCTCGACGAACCCTTCGACTTCGACTATTGTCGAAGAAACTGCGAACCGCACCCTAGCTAAGTCCACCTTATCGAATCATGTCCCTTCCTTCTACGATACATCGAAGAGCTCTGCCGAGCTTCGATCGTCTCCGCTAACCACCCACAGCCTCCGAGTAGCTTCGACGACGTGTCGAAGCCACCTCGTACCTTCCCCATTGTTCGTAGCCTTTTCCAAGGGCGTTTCTCGTGTTTACTCGAACCGCGGGACACCTTGCTGCTAACTCCCCTCTCACTAAGACTATAATCCGTCTCTCTAGTCCCTTTAGGTCGCACCCAGGTTAGGGGTTAGGGTTTCGTAGGTCGCATCAACGCCTCCAGCGTCTTGTTTGGTTTTCCCCTGTCGCTTGACCTCAAGTTGCGACATAGCTACCCTGGACATCCGCAAGGCCTGTGAACTCAATGGAAATGAGATACAGCCCACAGTCTCTTTTGTAACTGGCCTAACTAGGTATATCTTCATTACTTTGATATATGGCCTACACTGACTGGGTCTCCTCAGATGCCCGTGGGAGTTTGTTTGCAGCATTTGCCCATGAAACCAGATGGTTGCCGAGCTCATAGCTAAGGAAGGTGCACACTAATTCACACAACCAAAAGTGCCAGTAGCCAGCTCTCCACGACAACCCTGATGTATCAAATCTTACTCAACTGACCTTTGGCCTCTGCCAGCTCTGCACTCTGCCAGACACCTATGAGTCACGCGCAGATACTGTGGGTTCAATGACTCAAGCTGTCTGTTACGAGTTGACACGGCATCTAGCCACTTTTTAATTTTTCCTTTTCACGGGTTCGAACCCGCGACCTCTGTACTACATGCCTGATACGGACACGTCGTTATCTACTGTACGATTAGATTAGATGGGGCGGCAGTGCACGGCACAGCTCGGGCTCCGCTGACACAGCCGCTCTGACTCACCGGCCCCCGGGGCCGCGTCAGCATGCTGTGCACGGACCAGCTGCGCACGGACCAGTGCGCACAGCCTGCCCTTATCTTCCCCTATATATAAGCCGGCCTCTGCTGCCCTAGGGACCTCAGTTTCGACCTCTTGTCCCTAGGTCAGTAAGCCTCTCCTGTATTCTTTCTTACCTTGACTAATATATTCACTTGTCCCTAGCCTTAGGTTTGAGCGTAGCTCACCATCGCTTCGGTGAGATCAGTCGAACACCCCCAGCTCTCAAACTCTCCCCTGTCGCTTGACCCCAAGTCGCGACACTGTCCCCTGTAGCACCTGTGCCCGGTTGTGCGTACCTTACTTGTGCCACATGTGTGATGTTAACAGACTGTGTTGACATGATGACATTAATCTTATGCAAAGTTCTGTGTGCAAGTGGAGTGATAGCTGTTCAATAACTCATGTACGTACTTTGGTTATTACACTGTGAAGTGACAGGAGAGCAGCCAACCACAGTGAGACACAACAGTCCGATGCCTTGGTCGCCTCTCGGAGTAGCACATACAACCCTGCCATAAGCTGATTGTCAAAACTGTATGTCATCACAACTTCTGGATGGTAGCCACTATGCTGCATCTCAGAGTGTACCGAGATATTGGCTATAACTATTACATGCTGTGCCTTCGGGGTCCTGCGCATTCTGTCAACAGACCATGTGTGCTTCCACTAACGTCCACATTTCGCTACATGATAGCTACCGCTATCTTTACAGCAGGCTTCTGGCAGTAGCCTAGTGAACTACTCTCATAAGATGACTACTTCATTTTGTAAAGGCTCACATGCCCCTGCAAGTGTTATATAAAGGGCCTGAACGTAGCTTTGTTCAGCATTTACCATGAGCATGCCAATGAGTATCTCGGGTGCCTTCGAACAACTGCATTCCAAATCCTGGGACATTCTCACCATTTTTGTTCCCTTTCCATATTTCTCAACATTCACGTGTTCGCCGATGACTGGAGACAATGGGTATGCCTACAATATCCAGTCGACACCAGTGAACTCGATCATGGCTGTTTAATTTTCTCTATCTGGCACTGTTTTCTTGTAGAACAGTGTTGAAAGTACGTACAATCACGTCTACTTGTTTGGCTCTCGGGCTTGCGAAGACGGGATTGATGGAGACATGAGGCCGCCAGAGTAGGTCAATCGGGAGTGCTAACGTCGTCATGCTGCTGAGGGCGGCAGGATGCGCAAGTGATTGTGACGTGCTAGGGCGACATTCCCGTGAGATTGAGACATTTCCAGCTGCTGAATCAAACCCAAAGTTTCGAGTCTAGCTTGCTTTTGCGCAGGAAAGGGCTCCCATCCCGATTCGGATAGCAGTTGACCAAATATGGACGCGTTTCGATCGATCGGACAGATACTGCACTTGCCCTTCTTCGGTATGTCATAACCCTCTTCACAAGTTGGTCGTGACATCATTCCTGTCTTGGTCGTTTCGTACATATATAAACCGGATTCGACGCTGAGAAAACCAGCTCCCCTTTTCCCCTCTAACCACGATCATCCTCTCGCACTTTGATACGGACGAGCGACCCGTGTGTGGCACGTATTAGGTGGGTCTCAAGTTGATCATCGTTGTCTTCTATGCTAGTTCAAGTGCGCTCAATGCATGTATTGCACGACGGTTTTGGCTTCGAACATCGACATCGTGGTTGCGTTGTGGTCGCTTCGCGTTGGCTTATAGTCACGCATATGCGCATATACTTAGAACATCGTGGCCGCGTCAGTTTGTTTCTTATTCCAGCTAGCTCATCAAAGTCACTAGCGCTTAACGACCTTCGGACGGCCGCTACCCATCGCCCTTCCAGGACGTCTGACAATCTACCAGCGGAAAGGAAGAGAATGTGCCAATTGGAATTGAACGCGACGCGGATATCAGCGCTCCATAACGATACAGTGGTGTTGCAAGTACAGAGAACCGGAAAAGCTCAGCCAAGCAGCCTTTAAATTAACCCTTCCTCGGACAATCTCCTGGATGCTCGAGGATCCTACATTGATGCGCCTGTCGGACGGACAGACGAGCGCACGAACAGGCAGCTACGCCACTCATGCGCTCGCCGTAGCCGCCGCCGTGCTCGCGACGGCCGCCTGCGTCACGCCCTGGTCGTTCACCACGGGGACAGCCGCAAAGTCCGTCTTGATCCCAAACACCGCGTTGAACGCATCTGCCTGCCCGCCAGTCTTCGCGGTCACCGTGTCAGCGGCCGCCTTCGCACTCGCGCACGTCGCCTTCGCGGTCGCGTCCGCACCGCAGCTATTCACTAGCTGATCGCACATGAACTGCGTAATGATGTCGATGTTGTCGGCAGACCCTGCGCAAGCGGGGGTGTCAACGGCACAGCGGCAAGGCGGACACAAAACACGCCGACATACCGTGGGTGTACGACGTCTCATCGACCGGCTGGAACGACGTCTCCTTCCGATTATCGAACCCGACACCGAACTCGATCTGCGGGACCGTGCACGAGCCGAAGTTGCCGATCGAGGACGACGACGCGGTCGAGCTCGCAGCAGCAGCACTGGCGACCGTGCTTGCAGCGACAGCAGCGCTCGTGGCCTTGCCTGCTGCAGCAGTCGTGCTCACAGCCGCTGCTGTAGAGCTCGCAGCCGCAGCCGCAGTGGCCGACGCAGCACCAGACGCCGCAAGCGTCACGCCGGTGTTGCTGACCTGCGGTACGGCCGCAAAGTTGGTCGTTATCCCGAACACAGCGTTGAATGCGTCTGCCTGGGCCCCGGTGAGCGCCGTTGCGGCCGCAGCCGCGGTCTGCGCCTGCGCGCATGTCGCCTTGGCCGCCGCATCCGCGCCGCAGGTGTTGGTAAGCGCGTTGCAGATGAACTGCGTGATCACCGCGATGTTGTCCGCGGAGCCTGGGACAGGCATGCATGGGGTCAGCACAGCGTACGAAGACGCGGGGATGCGGGAACGCAGAGATGGGGAGGAAGAGGCGCACCATGGTTGTACGATGTCTGGTTCGTCGGCTGGAACGCCGTCTCGCGGCGCCCGTCAAAGCCAGTGCCGAACTCGATCTCGGGGACCGAGCACGAGCCAAAATCGCCGATGGACGAGGCGGACGCGGTCGCAGACGCGGCGACGGTGGACACGACGGAACTCACACTGGTCGCGACAACGACTTGGCCGGAGGCGGTGGCGGCTGAAGCGGATGCGGTCACGGTGTCAATGAACGACGCAGTCTGGTATGCGCCGTGGCACGGGCATGTCAGCGCGGGAGGGCGAGCGGAGGGGGCAAGAATGCACGTACAACGGTGACAGTGACGGTCGCCGTGGCTGTCGCGCACACCTCGTTGCCCGATGACCCGCTGGAGCTGCCGCTGGACGACCCACTTGAGCCCTTGTTCGACGACCCGCTTGAACCCTTGTTCGACGAGCTGCTCGCAGCCGACGTCGCGCTCGCGGCACCCGTCGCTGCCGCTGTGGAGGCGGCAACGCTCTGGGTCACACCCTGGTCGCTCACCTCGGGGACAGCAGCAAAGTCGGTCTTGATCCCGAATACCGCGTTGAACGCGTCTGCTTGTCCACCCGTCTTGGCGGTGACGGTGTCTGCGGCAGCCTTGGCAGAGGCGCAGGTAGCCTGTGCGGTCGCGTCGGCGCCGCAGCTGTTCACGAGCTGGTCACACATGAACTGCGTGATGATGTCGATATTGTCCGCGGATCCTGTGCGAGGCGGGCATGGGTAAGCTAGGAAGGGGTGACGCCGAGGAGGGTGCGCGTACCGTGATTGTAGGAGGCCTGGTCAACGGGCTGGAAGGATGTTTCCTTGCGCCCGTCGAAGCCGACACCAAACTCGATCTCCGGGACCGTACACGAGCCGAAGTTGCCGATCTGGGACGAGGAAAGCGTCGAAGAGACAGCCGCGGCGGCGGCAGTCGTGGTCACGGCCGTAGTGGAAGCAGCAACGAGAACCTATAGTCAAGACGGTTAGGCATGGCGCGAAGATCTGAAGAACAGGCGTACATTCGAGGTCGCGGCAGAATCGTCCGCGGTCACTGTGACAATCTAGACATATGCTAAGTATGCTCGGGCAGGGTACGTACGGCGAGGTACGTACCTTGCACGTCGATGTGTCGTCGGTCGCAGTGACAGCCGCAGTGGAAGCAGCCACGAGAGCCTATGTTTAATAGGGTCAGAAACATAACACGGAGACTGAAGAATAGCCGTACTGTTGACGTCGCGGCAGTATCGTCTACGGTCACGGTAACAACCTAAACATATGCTAAGTATGCTCGAGGATGGTACGTATGAGAGGGTGCGTACCTTGCACGTGGATGTATCGTCGCGAGCAATGGGGGCGGGGGTCGGTACTTCGTAACGGCCAACCAAAGGACGAGCGAGTGCGAGCTCGGGAGAAACGAGAGCAGCCAGAGCACCGAGCGCGAGGAGGGATTTTACGAACATTTTGAATGAATGAAGAAGGAAGGTGGATGCTGGCCTGAGCTGACTGTATCGAAGTGAAGGCGCGACACTGGGTCGGAAAGGAACGGCCGTTCAACGACACCGGGAAGGAAAGCGGACACAGGGAAGAAGAAAGCAAGGGACGATGATGCGTGCATGGTGGCGTCGAGGCGGACTTTTATGCAGGACACGCGAGGAACGGGCAACGGTCGCCATGGTTGACGAGCAGAATGAGTTTTCGAGAAGGCGGACGTTGGCAGCCAAAATGGCCAGGCACACCTCCGCCCTCCGATCATCGGTGCCGTGATCTTACTCTGCGATCGTCATGCTGCTGCTCATCCCAGTGCTCTGCTACTGACTACTAGCTACCACTGTCTGCCTCGTACTTACGTTATGATCTCCACATTATATCCTGGCTTCACTATTATCGCATGGTATAATCAGATCGCGCTTACAGTGATCCTCGTGGACCATTCATTTGCGTCAGCATCGGCATCATCTCCTCTGGCAACCGTTCCCCGGCCGCACGCTCCAGGCGGCTCCCGGTTCCACAACGTGACACCTCCCCGCTGGCCCTCTCTCCGGGCACACCGCTTACGCACATCGCGACGCACGTCCTCTCCACCGTATGCGCTACAATGTCAGACGCGCCGCGCCAGGCGGCCGGTGACGGGCAGCGCATGCTGCTTTGGGCATATGCGCTCGGGGCCGCGCTCGGAGCCGCCATTGCAGCGACACATCAGCCTGTCTCTGACGGGTGGCAACCCCATGGTCCTGACAGCGCGCCATGCCGGACAGGAGGTGGACGTGCCCGTACGTTGCCCGCATAAGGTCTATGTCACCTCTAAATATATCGTGTTACCTTCCTCCCCAAGAACGCAATAATGTCCTACCATGGGTAATTATAGCGTAGCTGGAGGGGGGCACGCTCACTCGATATGCCAATACGTTCAATATAGATGAGTTCGGTTCCTTAGGCCTTAGATCCGATGCTAGTTGCATTCCCTCCAACGCGATATCTTCGGTCTCTGAGTGACTCCATCTGTGCACGGTCGGCTTGTTTCATACCGGCGGCCTCTCTCCCCCCTTCGTGAGCTTCCAGGCGTCTGAAACATGGCTCTCCAGCGCCAGCCCGCGTTGCGCATCCAGTTGCCCTTGCGGCAGCCCCCGTACCACGCAGAGCGGTAGTGACGAGTAGAGAGCTCCACCCGGGAAGCGACGAGGGTTGAACGCAACATGTACCCGGCCGTGCGTCACGATACGACGAGCAACGCAGCCCATCCATGACACGTCCACAACCCCGATCGCGCAGCCTTGCTACCGTCCGCGCGCTGTGGGGTAGAGGTAGCCGCCCAGTCGTGACATGACATTGCGGTCCCCGCCGACTTGAACCTCGTGGAGTGCGCGCGGGGACGGACATAGCGGCCCGCCGCCTCGCGTCCGTGTGAGACGTCCCAACCGTGTTCTGCGCCGACAACGAAGTAGGCCGCGCGTATGCACCAGAATCGGCATTGGTGCGCGCGGGATGGCTGGCTATCCGGATTCGCCACGTACTCCACTTGACGTTTGTTGCGCACCATCCGGGGACATACGCACGCTCAACGTGCTCCGGGGCTTGTCAACGCGCGTCGAGCTGCCCCGCAAGAGCGCCCCGCGGCCCGTCGGTGTCGGGCGCAGGAGCCTCAGCGGGGGGCATCGACATCGACATCAGGACGGAGGGAGAAACGGCCCGGGAGGGCGTGCACCCCGGGCCAGAAAGGGGTGTCGTCTGCCTCGGCGGACACCACACCGAGCTGGCCACCCTCTGGTTCTAGTCCGTGCGAGCGCGCCGGGAGAGATGGCGCCGGTGCGGACACAGCCGCTGCGGCCACAGGCGGGAGAAGGAGAAGGAGGAGAGCCCGCAGATCAGGGACCAGGGATCAGGGCGGTGCGGCGCAGACATGGAGAGGGGGCATCGAGGGCACGGGCATCGTTGGCACCTGCGCCGAGGCGGAGTGCGTGGCTCCGTAGCCATGCCGTCGCCGCCACTGGCTGGAGCGCCGCGGGCGCGAGCGGCCTGCTGTGGGCGGGCACCCAGGCTCTGCCGCTAGACTCCGAATATGGGGCATGGGGTGAACACGTCGTGATCAAGGGGCGGGTGCATGGCGTCGGCGCGGCGACGGATGCCTGGGCCCGCTAGCATCCACATAGACTCCTCGACCACAGAGGGAGACGAGCAACAGGCCGGCTGTTCGCATGGCGTCCCAGCGGCGCGCGCGGCCCCTGCTGCTGTCGGCCAGCGGCGACATGGGTCTGAGGACGCACGGAGGGTTTTCGTGGGACGGGCATATCGCCGTCACGGCGGTGCGCACACCATGCGACGGCGCTTCCCTGCTATCCACGCGAAGCTCCCTGAGAGAGTGGGCGGTGCGAGGCAGAGAATGTCGGCGTCGAGCGGCGATTGGGGGTGACGAGTCGATGGTGCGCACATGGGGCGGGGGCGGCCTTGCCCCCATTCGCCGCGAACAACTGGTGCCGGCAGCCCGGCCGACGGGTGGACGACGGCGCCTTGGCCGCACATTGCATGCTCCCCACCCGTGATCTCGCGCACACGACGACGGCGGTATGAGAGTAAACGCCGCCATTCGAACAGAAGTAGCTTGTATGTCGCTAGCATGAGATATGAAGCGGCGCATGACAGGACACGATAGAGGCGATCGACGTACATAAACGACGGCATGGAGCCACGGGTGTCGAGCGCGCGACACAGAGTACACGCATCGAGAGCAGCACGACCCTGTGAGGCGCTGTCCATGGAGCAGGGATCTGAAGCTGAGCCTGTTCGGAAAGGTTCGCCGCGGCGTTGACTGATCGCAAGATACCTGCGAACGCGCATACACGCGGTGTCACGCAAAGGTAAAGTGTTGGCTATGCATAGTGAGCCGTGCTCACCGTGATGATGCGCGGATTCTGAGTACGGCCTGCTGGCTGTCGGAAGCGGAGGCTGAACCGGCGCGAATGGCTGGTGTTACTATTCTGGCGGTAGAGCCGGTGCTTTCTTTGACACGCAGCGTGCACCGCCGAAGCGCAAATCGACGCGAGACGGTTCGTTAGCACTGGGCATTGCACACCATCATGGATCGTGAACGCCGTACGTGACTGTACGATCTCCCGGGCAGCTGCAGCGGGGTCGACGTTGACTGCGCGGGGCCGGGAAACGTGCGCGGCATCGCACCCGCGACGCGGTGATGGTGCATGCGCACGGCGTGATGCGTATGCGACGATGCGAGGCCTACTGGGACAGATGGTGCGCATCGCCGGGGCGCGCCCGGTGTGGTCATTAGCGAGTATGTCCCCTCGGAGTTGCTCGTCTGGCAGCGCAGGTCGAGCTAGGCAAAGAGTTCCGGAAGCCGTTGGTATGCACCCACCATTATCTGCCTGAGGACTTCCAAGCGCACTGTGTCGTATACTTGCCGTAGCAACCATACACACCCACTGTGTATGACCGACTTGTTGAGGGGGGTCAACATCTTCCTATCAAACCAGCGTTATACATCGCTTCAAGAAGCAAGACGGCACCGCCGGGCAGCGCGACCGGTGAGATCTCCAGAGAGAGAAAGGGCCAACCGAATCCCTCGCACCAGTTACAACGACTCGGCAGTGAGCGAGCTTGAAAGAAGTCCATTGCGTGCTGCGCGTCAGTCCCGGATACGTGATGCATCTGTCGATCGACATCCGAGGGCCCACCCCCAAGTCGCGCGATCAGGGGCGAGCGCAAAGCCAATGATGGCCCCGCGGAGGTTGGAGCCCGCTGTGGAAAACAGTGCGCGTACTTGGCGCGAAGCCCTGCACCTGGACGCAGCCACCGATGCGGTCGGAACGCGGATCGCTGTGCGCGGTGCCAGACAGTGGCCGTTATCTCGGAGGGCGCCGGGCGACGGACCCAGGCACGCACCCGGGGGCGGGGACACGTCGCCCGAGGCTCGCGGGAGTTGGACGTGGGCGAGCGGAACGGGCAGGCGTCGCGGGGCGGAGACACAGCGCGCCGGCGTCAGATGTGACGCGTTGCGTCGAAGGGCCTCCACACACCGGACGGGGGGTTAGCCTCTGTCAGCGGTCGCACCAACATCGTCGCTGTACCAGCAATGTATGCCGGCGCGGCGGTCGTGCGGTGGGCGGGGCAATACGACGCAAGGTTCAATTGTAGGTCCCCGCAGCGCATGCTCGCAGGGAAGATGACAGGCACGCTACCTGGTTCTACTGTATGAAAAAGCAACGGAGCCAGATAGAATCTGGTTCAGCAACTGGTTCAGCAACAATGACACCGAGCCGGCACGGCGCTCGGGCGGGCGGCGGGCGGGGCGACGGCTGAAACACGATCGATGCGCCTGCTCCTCACCGCCTTGCCCATTACGTAATCCGCCGGCGGTGTGACGGCGATGGTTCCGGCTCGTTCCATTTGGGTCTACCCATCTCGCCGTATCTCCTCCGCCAACGCCTCTGTTTCGTTTCCTACCACCACCACCACCGCCTCCTCTCTCCTCCAAGTCCTACCGCCGGCCCCGTCGCCGTCGACGACGACAACGAACACAAGCCGCACGACGAACACACCGCCACCCTCGACGCCCGCAACCAGCCCCGTCTCACGCACGCTCGCCGCCTGGCACGCACGCCCGTCGCGTCGCCCACGCCGTCCTCGCTCACGTTCACGCCCACGCCGTCCCGCTCATGTCCTCTCAAAACGCCGTACGCCACACCACCCGCCTGCTCTCGCTCGTCGTCGTCGTCGCTCACCATGCCCCCGCAGATCCGGAGAAAGCTCGTCATTGTCGGCGACGGCACGTCGTTTCTGCGTCATCCGTGCGCTGTGTGCTGACCGTGCTGTCCTCCCTTTCGCTGCCTGGCCCTCGCCGACCCGCGCCGTGTCTGCCCTCGTCATCGCCCGTCTGGCCCTGTTCCTGGCGCCTCCTGCCACACCTCGCTTGTCGACTGCTCCGCTTCGCCCGCTTCTGACGGCCCCTGCGGCGTTGCCATGCACAGGTGCATGCGGCAAGACGTCATTGCTCTGCTCGTTTGCGCTGGGAGAGTTCCCTAAGGAATATGTGAGCACTCGTGTCTCTTTTCTGCTTGCTTCTCGTTGGCACCACGCGCTTCGCGTCTCGTTACGCTGCGAGCCTCATTGCTTACCATCTCAAGCGGCAATTTCTTCTACAAATTGTAGAGTGCATGCGCCCAGCTCGTTCAGGAGCTTATATGTGACGAGCGCATTGCGGGGAGCGCCTGTGTATAAGCACCTTATGCCATATTCTCGCTGCAGTCCATGGGCCTCGTTGTTGTCCCTTTCTCTTCCTAGAGCACTCGAGGTTCGGTGTATGCTGACAAGCCTCTTCGTCAACAGCAACCAAGTGAGTCCGGGCACTCACCAAACGAGGAACTCGCAAGTCCTCTAATCAATGTCACCAGCAATCTTCGAGAACTATGTCGCGGAGATTCGGCTAGACGGCAAGCCTGTCCAGCTAGCGCTATGGGATACTGCGTACGTGTGCTATTTTTGCACATGCCTTTCTCACTCATGCGGCGTTCCTGCAGCGGCCAGGAAGAATACGAGGTACGCGTAGTGGCTGTTCGGGCTGTGCACCACACGATTCTAACACAGCCCTGTCGCCCTCTGTCTACTTCCCCGCCGCTTGCGCGCGCCCATCTGATCGCCTCGTCAACCCGACCTACTTCTCACTGCGCACATCTGGACTCGACTCAACTGTTGCACCTGACGCCCTATTGCGTCATCGTGCTGCGCATCTCAAACAATCGGATATGGGCCCCGCTGTGCTCCATGGTGTGTGCAACGACTGATTGATCGTTGTGGGGACGCTGCACACAGCGCCTACGGCCGATGTCTTACTCCAAGTCGCACGTCATCCTGATTGCATATGCTATTGACACGCCAGACTCCCTGGATAACGTCACTGTGAAGGTACGCATCACCGCCCAAGTGCCACTTCTCACAGTCCTCGCGGACGCCGGTTGCTTCGCACACTTTTGTTTCGCTGGGGTAAGGTGAGAATGTACTGACGATGCTACGGTATCGCAGTGGATAGAAGAAGTGCGATCGATCTGCGGGCCCACAATTCCTGTGATCCTTGTCGGCTGCAAGTCAGATCTTCGGCCACCAGAGGGTGCGATCCGATGATTGCGTAGCCATCATGCCAACAGCGCTGACGATGATTCTTCCTCTGGCACAGGCTCGCCGAACGCTGGGCAGTTCGTTACACGCGCTGAGGCAGAGCGGGTCGCACACGCCATCGGGGCGCGCGCGTACAAGGAGTGCAGTGCGCTGAAGATTGAGGGCGTGGACGACGTGTTTGAGGCGGCGACGCGGGCGAGCATGCTAATGCGGGAAGGTGTGCCGGCGCATGTGCCGAGCGCCGGGCGCGGGCATGAGCGGCGGGGCAGCCGGAGCGGGAACCGCGACTGGGAGGGCAACAAGTGTTGTGTGATCTGCTGAATGCGTGCGGGAGGGAGGGAGCTGAGGACCTCGTCGGAGGGGAACGGAAGGAGCTTAGAAAGGGGAGCTCAAACGGAAGGACAGTAGCCGCTATCGCCTGCCTGCCTGTTACTCGTCCTTGTCGCTGCTGCTGGCGTTGCTCTGCTTGCTGACCATGATTCATCGTGCGCAGGCCCAGCTGTCCCCGCGCCTGTATGTATTTGCGCCGCGCCGCGCTTGCTTATCGCCTCGACGTCACCATCACTGACACATCGCTGTGCCCACTCATTGTCACGCCGCTGATCCCATCCACTCTCTATCGTCTGCGTCTGCGTCCACGTCTACGTCTATCACGTATCCATCGTCCCGTCTTTGCTTACCGCTTACTCATTGTCTATAGCCTCAAATCGGACTGGACTTTTTGCCCGTATCTCGCGTGTCGCCGTGCCCCGTATTCGTGTCCCGTATCGCTTCATATCCATTCTCCATTCCCCCACCCTCACGCTCACTCTCGCTCGAATTAGCGCCGTTTTCTGTCAATGCCATTACCTACGTAGCCCTAGCTCGTGTGCACCGCGATGTGTTCCGCGTACGTGTTTTTATGTGCCCACGGTCTTGCTTTTGCTGCCGACTGCAGTCTGCCGCACGCCGCTGGACGCGTTTGTTTTGTTGCTCTACCGTACACCCGCGCGCACGTGTGTGTGTCAAGTGGCTCAGATGTTGTCAGGTCCGGCTCGTTTGTGGAGATTTGTGGGCCCACGTGTGGGGCGCTTGCGACATTTCGTGCCTGCATCTAGGACTCAAAATCAAGCTAACTAGTTCTGTTGGTATCTCATACATGTCTCAGCGGAAACGCACACGGCCCTGCACTGGATATCCTATGTCTCGCATTCCATCAACGCCGAATGGACTCGGAGAAAGGTCATCGTCGTCCCGAAAAAGGGAAACCGGCGAGCCTTCAAGCTCCAAGCTTCAAGCTTCGAGCTCCAGCCCGGCCGCCCGTGTCCGCGAAACATTTCCAGCGCCTGTCTTGGATGTCTTGTGGGTTTCTGGCCCGAATCGGGTGCGTATCGGTGGTGCTTTTCTTTGTCTGGGGGAAGGGATCAATGCGATCGACTAGCAACACTACGTGCGATTCTCTCCCCGCGGCTTCTTCAGTTCACTCGTCATACAGGGACTCGGCGTACGAGCACAACCGCACAAAGTGAGCATATGGGTCCTATGAGGGCACCTAACGACATCGCCGCTGCGGCGTACACGCACGAGGTCGAGTCCGTGCGCCCACGAGCGCTTAGGTGTCGTACACGGTTCACATGTCGGGAGCGGGGATGTCACTCGGGTGTGATCCAACTGAGCGTGCGCGTGTCGACGAGCGGGGTGCGCGTAATGCCCGCGGGCGAGCAGTGTAAGGAGACGCGTGATTCGACACTCCAACGGGGGGTGGGGGGTTGTAACTCGTACGGAACTGCGAGGAAGAGGCGGGGCATGCGTCACGCACGGCCACGGCGGAGTCGAGGTCCGCACCGACTTCAAGGCTGAGCGGGTCCAGCATCCATGCCATGCCTGTGAGACGAGGGACTTACGTTCCTCCGTGGACTCGGACTGTATGTATGCACATCTCGCAGTCGTAAACTTGAACTGGAGACGTCGAGTCTCGCTTGCTTATGCCCAGGACGGGCTCCCATCCCGGTTTAGCAGGTGTTTTTCCGTTTTGGACCTTGTCTTGATCGTTGGTCACATTCACGCCTTGCAGACCGTGTAATACATCATCCCTGTCAAGGATCTCCTGTATCCTTATAAGCCGGTGTCGACGTCGAAATCTGTGTCTTCCCTCTCTCGAACCACTTTCATCTCTCATCTTGTGCGCTAGTACGGACAAGTGACCCGAGTGTCGCACGTACTAGTAAGTACCGTAATTGTTCGAGCATTGTAGGCGCGTCGCTATTGGGTCACGCATCGAGACACGCAGTTTGATCGCCTACATGCGTCGCTGTTCGAGCGCGCTTTGAACTGTCGTATTTCTTGTTTTCGCGCGTGTCTATTCGAGCACGTTTCGAAGGGCTCTTCATCTGTCTATCGTATGATTGTGTTGCTGTTCGAGCACGCCTCGTGACGTGGTGTATTGTGAGCATTCATGATTCGTTGTTTCGTTTGATCAGTCGCCGTATCGCGAGCGTGCATATAGTCAGTACAAGACAGCTGAACATGATTCATTTATATTCTAGCTGGCATATAGTCATCAAACCCCTTCAACCTACTTCAGACAACGCCGCGGATTTCCCTCCCACACCGTACCGTAGTAGTCGATAACCGATTTTGGAAACACGCGGTAAAGGAACACTTCGACCTCCGCCGCTTGGGACGAAGCATGGTCATAGTCGCAGAAATACATATTGAACCGTTCCAGCTCATGTGCGATGGGTTCATAAGACTCTGCAGGAAACTCCAGACACGGTTGCAATTTATAGAGGGTCAGGGAGCGCAAGTCGGGGCACAGGCGGGCGCTATCGTACACGCAGGCGAGTGTCGGCAAATCGTCGTTCAGTAGCCTGTGCTCGATGACTAGGGAGCGGAGGCGCGGCCAAGCCTCGGCCATGGCCAGGAAAGCGGAGTCTGGGACTGAAAGCTTCGTGCCAAAGTGTACGAAGCGTATTTCGACGGACTCCAGGTTATGCAGCTCCAGCAACGGGCGCACGATGTCGAGCAGGGCAGCCCTGCCAAAGGATATTCGCTTTTTCGGCTTCGAGATAGCCAAGCAGACGGCGCGCAAGGATATCGCGCTCATTGAGCATGCGGGAACCAAACATGAGTGGAGGTCGTCCACCGAGCCGTACAAGTCGGTGTACTCGATGGTAATGTTCAGTGTTTCCAACCGAGCCGGGGCAATGGACGTAAACAGGCGTGCAAGCGCCCCAGCCGGTCCCGACACGTTCAATGTGGTGAGCGCGACGAAGCCATTAATGGACATTGCGGTGTCTTCGTCGGATTCGGCGACTGACATGTGGAGCCATTGTAGATGTTGAAGTGACGCGAGTGCACGGAGGACATCTGTATTGGCAATGGCGTCGTTGATATCCACTCGTTGTAGCGACTGGCACCGCGAGAAGAATGGTAGAGAGAGCAGGGAACTGACGTTGTGGAGGCATATCTCTTCAAGCTCTGGCGCCATTGCCACCACCTTCTTGAAGACCGCTAGGAGGTCTGATTCAGGTCCTTTCGTGATTGTAACTGCGTCCTGATCGTCCTCAGGAATAGCCGTCCTATCGGTGGCTTGCACCTGTCCCTGCGCATGATCTTCATGCTGCTCGTCGTGCGTTCCATTTCCATTGTCGTGCTCTATACGGTCGGTCTCGTCTTCGTCTTCATCACCAGTATCCTGAGTGTCTCTGTCGTCCTCACTATTCTCGCTTTCATCATCGTCACTGTTGTCGTCACTACTCTCGCTTTCATCGTCGTCACTGTTGTCGTCACTACTCTCGCTTTCATCGTCGTCACTGTTGTCGTCACTATTTTCGCTTTCACCATCGTCAATATCGTCCTGACTATTGTCACTTTCATCATCGTCATTGTTGTCTTTGTCTACATGTTCTACATGTTGATGGAAAGCTAGGATTCGCAGACCGGGCGAGATGAAGCTCAAGATACGATCGTCGGCATGGGAGTCGCAGTGCTGTTCCCAATAAAGCTCTATGAGATTGGGTAGAAGGGGCTTCTCTCCATTTTGACGGAAGAGATGAGGTACGAGTGAGGCCTGCGTGTGGTCTAGGTTGATCCTCCTTGCGTAGCGGACACGTCGTGCGTAGTGCTGGAAACGCGCCCAGTCTTCCTGGGTCACTTCGTCGCAGAGTGACTAGAGTCAGGGAATAGGTCGCATCAATTTATGTCTAGGAAACGATGTAGAATACCCACAAGGTACTCCAGATCCTGGGAGCCAACTTTTGACTGGACGGCTGGCAAGACGCGTAACAAGTCGTGGATGTCCTCCAAAGTCTTCCACAGTAGGTCCAGTGCTGGGTCACGAAAGCTTTTGCACACGCGTGCAGCTCGAGCGAGCTGTTTGATGGCGGCCCTTTGCTCCCTGGTGATATTAGCGTTTATGCGGCCTGGCATCCCTACCCTAATGCCTAGAGCGCTATACGACTTCGGTTTGACAGGCAAGAGATGCTCGAGAATTTCACGAATGATGTCGATAATCTCAAGAGCTTTATGCATGTTGTGAATCTAGAGTAATCGTGAATAGTCGTTATGGCGAGTATGCTCCGGACTCGGAACACTACTAGAGGTGTATGTCAATCACATTCAGTGTGACATTGCGAGGAACGAACCCACCTGGTTTTACCTGAGCTGGCAAGTGGTAACTTCAAAGAAACGTAATATTGGCCATAGGTGGCATGTCGCATCACCGTGACGCGGCAATGCATACTCAGGAAAGTCACAAGCGCGTTATGTGACACCTCAAGTTTTATCACGCTCGTTCGATCGTTAGCTTGACTATGGCATAGTGGTGTCGAGATTCGTACAGCGTATGGCGTCCATATTCATATGTTCAGTGCATGGTACTAATCATTCATTTGCCTTAGATATGGGCCTCGACTGTGCTCCTTTTCCTTCAAATACAGCGCCGGCCCTGCCGTAAGTAGCAGCAATGTGCGTCAGGTCTACCTCTTCTACTACCAGCTAGGTCATGTAGAACTCATGAAGATCCATCCATCCTCACAGACAATCAAACTCCTGAACTTACGTGGCACATTTGCATGTGTGCTGATTCGCAAATATCTAGCGGGCAATAAACGCCGTGGCGAATCTTTCTTGACGGGCTCACAAACACGTACTGTCGCGGTATCCTTGCAGAATCCTGAAGACATGCATCGCGCGCTTCAGATTCTGGAAATCATCGATTGCATACTGCAGCATGCGCGAGAATCCTCTGTCAAAGTAGCTCCGTTGGCCCGAGTTTGCAAGACTTTCTCGGGGCCGGCTCTGGATAGCACATGGAGAGTGCTTCACAAACCCCTGCCGCTCTTGAAGCTTTTCTCTGGGCTGGAAATGGATACCGTTCGAGAACCGTATTTCTATGTGGTCGTTTATGTATGTCGAGCGCCTCTGTCATTTCCTGTTCGCTCACGAGTCCACTCATGCAATGTTTCATCTCATACTAGCGTCTAACAAGCGACATACTCCCGTCCGAATGGGAGCGATTCCTGTCATACTGTCATCGTGTACGCGAGATCACGTGTGGAGAGTATGCAATGTTTACCCAAAGTGTTGTCGTCCATTCCTCGGTCTGGCAACAGTTGTTCGTGAGGAATGGGGGAAGACCACTCCTGCCTCATGTGCGAATCATCGACTGGTACCCCCAATCACTGCTCGACGCTGATATTCTCTACCTCACATCCTCTACTCTCAGGCAGCTTCGCGTAGATATCGAGGAAGCACCATCACATGCTTTGCTTACGGATGCGATGGCGAGGTACACAAACCTGCAGATGGCCTTTGGCATGGTGCTTCAGCAAGTGGTGCAAATGTCGCCATTCCTGGAGGTCCTCGATACATCCGGCGTGGGGTATAGCGCACTAGCGTTGCCCGTCTCAGTTTGCAGCCGCTTGCGTGTGTGCAAGACACATATGTGCATCTCGCGTGACGAAGATTCACATCTCGACATCGCCTGTCTGGACGCGCTCGCTGCCTCATCACAATTGGAGGAGCTTGCGTTCGATGTCATAGTCGTGCCTGCGACACTCATATCATGCACATATGCGTTCAACGCTCTGCGGAAGCTTACAGTTCAGGGGGATATACAGTCCTTGGAACGTCTGCTAGCCGTCCTCACACTCCCTTGCATCTGTTTGCTCAACCTGCAAACAGGTAGCGATCCTCAATTAAAGGAAAAGGCTATGATTCTGCAGCAGTACCATGCTCTGTTTTCAGCCATCTCCGCCAAAGCCGCGCATAGCCTTACATCGCTGGAAGTATCTCCGGCTACGGATCTCGATGTGGATGAATATTCGGAATCCGAGATCTGTTTCTCTCTGCAAGACTTCGTGGCTCCACTTTTCCAGCTCAAGAAGCTAGAGGCTTTGAACTTGACTCTGCGCACATCGTTGACGGTCTCTCCCGTGGACGTCCAAATCATGGCGAAGAATTGGCCTGGACTCAAGTCTCTATGCCTAGAACCATGCTCCCGCCGATCATCCATCGACTCTCTAGTGCCGTTCGCCAAGAGTCTTCCACTCCTACGAATCTTGTTGTTGCACAACTTCCGCATCGGCGGCCTGCATGACTTAGAAGCTTGCCCAGCCTCGTCCCACGAACTGCAAACCATCAAAATTTTCTCGTGCGGATATGAGGCCTATAACCCTGCCGATATGGCACATATGATAGATCGCCTCTTCCCGAACATTGTGGTGACCGACTCCCATTTCGGCTTGTGGCGCGAGACCAAGAGGCTTCTAGCAGAACTACAGGCGGCGCGGGCCCGCGAAGGGCCTCTACCAGAATGAGCTCCGTGAGGGACATGACGCGGGTGCCGGGGAGTACAGTTGCGCTATATCCAGTGTGGCATGACGACCGATCCCGCTTGGAACGGCCTGGTTCTGGGTCGCTTGTTACAATTTGCCAGGTGCTCCATCTTCATACCACTTCCCACACAGACATTGCACGCTAGCCTGTGCAATTTGCCCAAAGTTAATTATGAGAATGGAGGAATATAGGTCCTGGATCTAATCAAAGCTACGAGACTAGGCAGCAGAGGATATCCTTATTTTCCTATGATTCGACGCTGAGCGCACAGCGATCCTTTGCGAGGCTCGTGGCGTGTAGCGTAGCCTCTATCGGAAAAAACTGCAAGGTCAATGTTCATATTCTCTAGCATGCGTCTAATATGGCCTCGTCAGGTACGTTAACGTCTCCATCACGGCGGAGACGATGCACAGGTCTCGACGGTCTGGCAGCTAGAGAATATCAGGTAACTACCTGGATTGCGATTCACTTGCCCGTGAAATCATTAATTCCCTCAGGAAATGTGGATCATATCTCCGCTGAATCCAAGACTCATTCAATATCATGGACTGCTGAGGATGCGCAGCAGGTCAGGATTTACTTCAAAGTGTTCCACAGCCAAGTCAGTGGACGGTGGGCGAAGTAGCTTAAGATGCAACAAGAAAACGTCAGATTTGATGGTCGCTTTTGATATATTGGGTAGAAACAGTCTTCCTGGCTCAACTTCAGCTGGTAGCCGTGGGAAGGGACGGCATTTGCGTCGGGAGACTATGTCACAAACGCGTTATGTCACGCAATGTCAGCACGTCGACGGACTTCTACTTAATGCAGACCGCAGCGAGCGCTGCACGTCTATGCATCAGATACTACAGACTGCTGGCATCGTGGAAAGCATAGTCACACATGCTCATCGCGTATCGTCCATCGAAACGGCTACACTGGCAAGAGTCAGTAGGACTTTCACGGATCCAGCTTTGAACGCTCTATGGAGACACCTTGAAAGCTTCCTCCCGCTGCTCAAATTGTTCTCTGGACTGAACAGCGTTACCTTGGAATGTACGCAAACTGAGGAGGGATGTTTGGCGAGTGTATACGTGTGTTCGGCGTCCGTTCACTTATTAAGAAATCGACTCACTATTGATGACCTTTGCTAGTACCTAACGAATAACATTCTCCCTGCAGAATGGGATCGGTTCCAGGCACATATTGGACGCGTGCGCAAGATCGGCAACCACTCAGATCTGGAACGCGCTATAATCATCCACCCGTCTGTGTACCAGCAGCTCTACTTGAAGAACAGGTGCATGGCGCTTCTGCCTCATGTCAACGAGACTTGTTGGCATCCCGCATCAATCCTGGATACCGAACTACTCTTCATAGTTCCTCGGTCGCTCGAGGCGCTGGCAATCGACGTTCGGCGGGCATACTTCCCGTTGTCTTTGGACGCATTTATAGGGAAAGGCGCCGGGCTGAATAAAGACTTCGGGGTGCAGCTGAGGCAGATGCTGCAGCTGACACCAACCCTGAGACTGTTAACTGTATCCGGCGTAGGATACGCCGCGCTGGCAGCATCCGTATCAACATGCTCGCATTTGCGCACCCTGCGTGTAGTCACTCACGGGGAACATAATACGGACGCTGAACTGGATATCACTTTCCTCCAGGCTATCCAGTCCCTCGAGTACCTAGCGCAACTCCGGCTCAAATGGGTTTCAATGCCTGATTCTCCTATCTTCCAGTCATATCCGCTCGCCGCCTTACAAGAGCTCTCGATTCATGGTGATACGCAGTCCTTGGAGAGACTACTGGCCATCTTGGAACTGCCCATGATCCGGTCTCTTTACTTGACTACATACCCATACGTGCGAACCGACGAAGCAGACATCATCCTTCTGCAGTATCATGAATTCTTTGCTGCCGTTGCCGCTACAACCTTGTCCACTCTCACGTTTCTGGACGTGTGCGTGCCGGAAGAATGGGGAAGCTATCCGGAGGACGGTTCGGAGGCGAACTTGCGCTTCTCGCTGCGTGGGTTGATCAAACCACTGTTTCAACTGAAGAGGCTGAAGAAGCTCAAGTTGGCGGTCACAGCGTCCCTATCAGTATCCCCCGAGGACATCCGCAGCGTAGCCAATGCCTGGCCTGGCCTGAAGTCGCTAGTGCTCTGTCCGTGTGGTCAACGCTCCTCCGTTAGCTCCCTCGTCCCATTCGCTCGACATCTGCCGCTCTTGGAAACACTCTCCCTGCAGAACTTTAATATAGACAGCATTGAAGATCGGCAAGCTTGTCAAGCCATGCCGCATCCACTGGAGCACATTGCGCTCTTGGGGTTGGGCGATAAGTACGATGTCGTCAAATTGGCTAAGCTCATAAACTATCTGTTTCCTGGCGCGGACGCCATGTTCCCGCACGAGGACTCTTTGTGGCGCCGGGTTTCCGGACTTCTCACTCGGCCGCAGGTAACTCGCGGGAGGAGGCAGGGCGGCCACAACACGGAAGTACTTGTAGCCATATGCGACCAACTTGGAGGCCCATGGACCACGATATGATCCACTAGTATCCACTAAACAGAGCCTATCAGCTACGACTCATCTATTGAGCTCTATGTTACTTCGACATTTTCAGCTACGGATACATACCAGTTACGACTGAGATTCAGCAATGTGAATGTGCTATCGTAGATGATGGCCAGCTGTGGTAAGATGTATCCGATATGGTGTAGTGGCTAACATTATCGCCTCTCACGCGATAGCCCGGGGTTCAATTCCCCGTGTCGGAAGACTTTTTTGTCGCCTTAATAGACAGGTTTATTTCATAACGTCATAGCAGAACCAAAGTTCTTAGGGGGAACATGTATACACCAGTATATCACAGCTGAACCCATTATCCATAAAGAGGACATAATGTACATCATGTAGTATGCGCATTCAGTTGCACGACCATGTCTGCCACCTTTTGGCTCCTCGGATGGATATCGCATTCAAAATGCTTCGGATGGCTGTAGATGGCGTTCAACATACGATTCCTATCTTGGGCACGACAGCGGACTTACCTGACAGCACCCGAATCGAACGCGGCTTCCGGTGTGATTTCTTCTCCTGAGGCATTCCGCGCCTTGCAGATATCGAGCGTCGCTATCATGTTCGCCGCGGCGAGCCAGATGATGTAGTCGCCGAGTTGCTTGCCGGGACAGAGCCTAAATATCGCCACCGCCAGCTTAGCAATGGCTAATGTGCAAGCGTAGAGGAAAACGAACCGTCTGCCGAAGCCGAACACCATCCTATGCGGGCTGCATTGTTCTGCCGTCTCCGAATCGAGGTTCTCAAAACGCTCAGGGAGGAAGGTATCCGGATCGGGGTACATGCTAGGGTCTCGTGTCATTGCCCTGTGATCGTGTGTCAGCTGGGCTGGCACAGGAGAGGCGAGAATACCTGCCAGATGTTGCCGATAACCATTGTGCCCTTGGGGATGTAGTGGTCACGGTAGACGTCGCCGTGCGTGACGTTGTGTGGGACCCCTTACGATACAAGCTGTCAGCCTTGATGATCACTGTTTGCGCAGTGTATAGACTGACCTAGGGGTGCGGGAGGGTTCCATCTATAATGTAGCGGTATAAGAGTGACGTAGTTGCGATGTAGGCGAAGACTGACCTGTAGACCTCTTTGAGAACACACTCGAGGTACGGCAGTGAAGGACGGTCCTCGAGCTCCGGCAGGCGCTCCGAGCCAACGACGCGGTCTATTTCGGCCTGCGCCTTTCTGTACACCTCTGGGTGCAGAACCATCGCGAGGAGGAACGAAAGGAGGGTGATAATCGTCTGAGAATTGTCAATCGACCTGCATACTGGCGCGCCCCTCGGTATGATCGAGGTTGCCGGTTAAGAATCACATACCGTGTCAGACCCAGCTGGGGGCCACGTCAGGTCTCATAATGCTAGGGATGCAGGTTATGAACTAACCTCCATACATCAGACAGACCGCATACTTGATACTTTCCTGGTCTTCCGGGGTGATCTCGTTGTCCTTGGACAATTCGTCGAGCAGATACGTGAGGAAAGATGGCTTTGCGGTCCCTGCTGCCTAGGATACGGCGTCACCGCAGACAAAACTGACGGCAAGGAGCGGTGCTCACAACCTCTCGTCTGACTTTGTCGTAAGGGGTATCTAACATCTCGCGCACGCGCTGTCGAGCAATAAAGGCTCTTCTTTTGAACCCACTACCAGGCATCCAAGTAGGTATGTGCCTCACTAAGGCATGTCACGTTAATATGAGGGTAAGTGACGGGGGAGAAACGTACGGAACGGGAAGAAATCGACCAAGGTCGCTACAAGGCTGTCTGCCTCGATTGCGCCGGTCAAGGCGTTGTCCGCAAATTTGACAAACTCGTCGTCGACTGAGGATACTGAATGGCCATAGGCAATCTCCATCATCATGGCAGCGGAGAACCTGCAGCATGCTGAGCACGAAGTATGGAATACGCAAAAATGCTTGTGCATGCCTCTTGACATGGTTCTCGAAGGCTTGCGGGGTCTGAATTAGATCCAACAAAAACTTATTCGTCTCTCTGCGTTGCAAGGGAAGGTAGCTGTCAATTGCATTCCTAGCCTGGATGGCTGTCTGATACCACTTGCGTTGACGACGCCATTCATCCGTGTAGGACATGAACACCATGGGCTTGAACCGTACCCTAATACCAAGCTCTTTCACCGGATGACATCATGCAGTGTGTGGTGTAGGAAGCTTACAGTTCATTAATTAGGACAAAGCGTGGCCTGTCGGAGTATTTTGAACCGCGCTTCTCCATCAAGTCCTGCGCTACTTCCAGTGAGTTGAGGATGATGGCCGGCCTCACGAAGAACTTCGCGAACACGATTTCCCCTACGGATCAACGTTACATGCCGTCAAATTCACCATCCCAAAACCCATACCATACTGCTTCCCCCACTCTGTAAATGTGCGCTGCTGATACTGAAGCGGCAACTGGTGTACATTGCCCACAAGCGGCAGACGCGAGGGCCCGGGAGGAAGGGGGAGGGTTCGTTTATGGTTCAGATAACGGGCGTAGGCAAAATGGGCGACAACAAAGAGAAGGACTGCCCAAGCCATGGGCCGCTCGATTCCTAGATCCGATACGAGAGTCATGGTCGAAAGGATATTGTAGACGTCGTTTCGAGTCGTGTACTCTTGCATCAAAGTTGTATTTAGGCGGGCCTTCCATCAGTCACGGCGTCAACCTGATTGACTCAGACCGGGCCGGATCACTGCGCATCGTTTGCAAGCGACAGCCGATCAAGTCGCGAGGGCGGTGACATTGATCGACGAGTGATCGTAGTTACCAACACTGCCGCCACTCCAACAGTCCCCTTCTAGCAAGACCGTAGAATCTGCAATAGGACTCGAATGTATAGAAATGAGCCCTAGAGGATTGAGGGAAAGTAGCTATTGTCAAGTCCAAAAGAATGTAAGTGTCAGCCAGTCTACGGCTCGCACGGATCAGTTATCCTGAGTAAATACTTCGGCATAACGCTCGGTAATGAGATCCATTGCCCGTTCGGAGCGTGGTCGTATATCACACTCAAAAGGCTCAACCTCACTGTATATAGTGTCAATGGCAGCTTCACGGTAAGCTGCACAGATGTTCTCGCCTAATGAGACCGCTTTTGAATGATGGTGTTGGGACGACCTCACGCCCCACAGAATCCCGAGCTCTCCGGATATCCATGGTGGCGAGTAAGTTTGCAGCCAGAAGCCAGATACTAGAGTCAGCAAGGAAACGGCCTGGGCAGATACTGCAAGTACAAAGCGTTTACTCAGATGAAACCGATCTGATGACAGTTCTCACCGTCTGCCGAACCCGAAGACGTACTTCCGTGGATCTTGAGAAGCAGCCTTCTCGGCATCCACCTCCTGGAAGCGCTCAGGAAGAAATTCGTCAGGCTCTGAATATAGACTGGGGTCTCGACCCATAGCCCTTCAACGTTTCAAGTGAGCAAAAGTCAGATGCAAGATGATGGGATGCGTCAGCATACCATATGTTCGTGACGATCATGGAGCCTGCTGGGAGGGTATATCTCTCGTACGTGTCGTCTTCCTGGAGACGATGTGGGAGCCCTAAAGATATCGGTTATTTTGCATGTTTTCCAAAATAAGATAGGAATGCACACCTAGGGGTGCGGCTGGGTTCCAACTATATCAAGTTATAACAGTCATGTTCAATGATTCATGCATAAAGAATGGCGCACCGTAGCACTTCCTTCACGATACAATCAATATATGGCAGTGAATCTCGGTCGCTGAGCTCTGGGAGTCGACTGTTACCAACTACGAGATCAAGCTCCGCTTGCGCCTTCTTGACGATCTCCGGGTGAATCGTCATCGCCAGAAAGAACGTGAGCAGTGCATTCAGAGTCTGTACAGGTGGTCATTTTGATATCGCCGATGTATTGTTTATGAACACGACCTACCGTGTCGACTCCAGCTTAACCACCAGTTGCATGAGCACGCAATAACCAGATGACAAAGCTTGGACGCCCACCTCCGTACATTTGGGATGCTGCATTGCTGATAATGTACTCATCATCCTCGGCCAATGCGCTGTCTCGCAAAGCCTCTTGGAGCATAAAGGTGGTCAAGGACGGCTTTGCTGTACCAAGTGCCTATTGATCCAACGAATACTGAGCGGTTATGATGGACGCGATGCAACAGGGCGTTCTCACCATAGCGCTGCGCACCTTCTCAAATGGTATGCGCGTCATCTCCGCCCACATGTCCTTGACCTCAAGCGCACGACGCTTGAAGCCTGCTCCCGGCATCCACGTTGGAATATGCCTCACTGAGGATCGCAGGCACGGTGAGTGAATATACTATGCAAGCGCTGATTATGGTATGCTCACGCATGGGGATGAAGTCGACTAGTGTGGAAGCAGCGCTGCCAATAGTGCTCAGTGCGGAGACCGTTCCATTGGCGAATGCCATGAACTCGTCGTCTGCGGAAGAGACAGGGAGCCCATACGTGATCTCCATCATCAGCGCACCGTTATACCTAGCCAGCAGTAGGTCAGTGTACTTTCGCTTATAAAGAGGTAGTCGCACCTCCTGATGTGCGACAAGAACTCCTTGGGGTTGTGTGTAAGATCCGATAGGAGTCTCCCAATCTCTGCGCGCTGCATTGGACGATACTGTTCAACGGCGGACTTCGTCTCTAGAGCGCCTAGAAAGTATTTCCTGAGGCGGCGGCATGTTTCATCGTAGGGCATGAATCCCAGAATGGGTTTGGGGAACACGCTAGCCTTGCATAATCAGTCATGTCACGATATCCTCGGGGAAGCAAATTACGTACAGCTTATTTGCGAGGATGGAGTACGGCCTGTCCGAGTACTTTCCTCCTCGTTTCTCAAGTAGCTCCCGCGCCACATTTGCAGAGCTGACGATGAGGATAGGCCTGTGGAAGGCATGTATGCATATTAGATCGCCTACAACAATGACGTCGCCTGAGTGTAAACATTTGATGCAGCCTGAGACACTGACCATACTTCCTGGCCCATTCCGCAAACGTTTTGTGTTGGTACTCCAGAGATATCTGATGCACATTCCCGAGTAAAGGCAGTTGTGGAGGTCCAGGAGGGAGCACAGAACGCGATGAAGGAAGGATGCGTGTGCAGAGGTAGTGACATATAATCCCCAGAAGGATGCTAGCGCATAGGAGTGTCTCGATACTGGCTGGGAGCATTGCGCTGGGAAGTGAAGACGAATAACAGGCAGATGTACCGTCCCATCCAATTGTCCACGTCACAGTTCCCGGCTAGACGGGTGTGTCAAACTGATCTCGATGGATAATTTCCTACCAATTCGCATTTTACGCGATGTCTCTTAAGCGCCATGCGAATGTCGAATCCGACACATCATCTTCTGGAGAGAACATTCAAGTTGTCCCTACTTTTCACTACAGACACGACGCTTGCCTTTGGGAAATGCTAGCAGTGCCAGAAATCTGTGTACCGAGATGTTCAAGGGATTGGACACAATCATCCAGGGAAGTTCGGCAGCTTCTGACATCTGATCAGGGCCCGATCAGATGTATCTGCATGCTGGAACAGAGACTGTATAATTGCACCATCAGACATATGTCAACGAGTACGAGCTCTTGCTCCATCCCGACAGTGCAGTATCCTGACAAGTTGGGACGGAGAATATCGGATCTTGAGTTGAACGAACCGGGAAGGTCCGGCGCGGGCGCTCGACTCCGCCGTGCAAGCAGAAGGGGACATTGGTCTCGTACCCCCCGTATCCGCACCCCACCACCGCGAAAAGTAGTCTCGTAACCAGACGTCTTTTGCAGGGAGGGAGGGGGGTATCCGTCACGCCCCGGCGCTTGACGTGCCTGCGGCGCATCTTGCCTGCGACGCATTCCGTAAGTCTCATCTATGTACGTCGCGTAGTATGGCTTCCGCTATATTCACTCTTGCCGAGTTCTCGTATGGTCTTTCGACGCTCTCGGCATCCATCCTCAAGAAGTGTAAAAATATGCCTTGAACCCCTCAAGCATAAATGTATGAGGCCATCACTGAGTTGTGAACACAGTTTTCTTATGTCGCCTTTGAAATCTGCAGTGTAGTCTTTGGCTCTAATAGTATGCACTTGCATGGTTCATATCCGGTCAATTGGCAACAGTGAAGTACAGAAGGGCAGGTGCGCGCGCGAAAGTTGCTAGGAGTAGTTACCTAAAAAGGCTAGGTGAATCAACGGAATGATGCGGTATCAAAGTCTGTGACCGTTACACGGGCGCTACGTGGGCGCTAAACGGAATGGGGGGTGCGCCTACTGAACTGCCCCAGACCCAGGCTCCTTCCCGCCGCTGTGGGAGTTATAGGGGCTCAATCCGACAAATTTGACGCAAGCTAAGTCCTGCAAACCCATCCGCCACACTTGCGCCACAATCCGGCTACATCCGAGGCAAGATCAAACTCCGAATCCCAACCTTAAACCCCCATAACTCCCTACAGCGGCTGGCACAAAACATCTACAAGCAGCGGAGGAGCGGCGCATGTCACCTAGATTAGGAAGGCAGGATACTGGCCTATCATTACATAATCGTTACGGTCCCGTGTATCACAGTAGCGTTGATGTGTCCCAGTGTCGAGTCTCGTCGTCCTCGGTGCAACTTTGTGACCATGGCCTTCACCCCTCTAATAAAAGTTTTATACCTGGCTTTGACACAGATGCGCGCATCCCTGCCGAGGTTAATTTTCGTCCTTCTGACTGGTGAAGGCCTCATGCAACATCCCTTCGTTGAATAACCCATCCTCGGCCTGGCTGGCACTTCAAGTTCAGCACTCTCCATGCACCTGCGACCCAGGTTCTCGACTTTTTCACTGATAATGTGGCTTCCAAGATGCAAAGTGTTGCGAACAATGGGCTTTCTGCGCATCGTTGTTACATTCACTCATGGGGGTTGCGATGACCTCAATTGACGACATTGAAATGTTTGGATGTCAATTATCATTTCCGGGAATCAATCCTGCCTCGTATGGGAGGTGCGGCGCCGGTCCTCCGCTGTTTGTAGATGTTTTGTGCCAGCCGCTGTAGGGAGTTATAGGGGATTAAGGTTCAAATGGGATGTCACATGATATGCACGTGATGTGATGGCACATGATCTGTGGTAAGACTTCTATTCTCGGATACACAAGATAAAACATTGAGTACGCTATTCGGATGAAGTCCCCTATAACTCCCACAGCGGCGGGAAGGAGCCTGCCCCAGACCCCTTTTCGCGGTGGTGGGGTGCGGATACGGGGGGATGGGTACGAGACCAGGGGACATGTTCATTCGACGTCAACGTTCGTACGTACGTCACTTTACGATCACACAACTTAGGCTTCAAACTATCCTCGAATGTTCAAATATCAATTGAGGTTCGAACTTCACTATGCTCGGACAATCGTGCGTCACGGGAAGGTTCTGTCTAGCGCCGTCACTACAACAGGTTACATCGAGGCGTAGAAGCAAGTCAAACAGACGAGCATGGATGTTCTACTAGAAGAGCACGCTGCACAAGCCCTCAGGGGTCTCAGGGTCTGGAGACTGCAGCGTTGAATTTGCCAGGATTATGATATTCTGATGTACTCCTCTGAATGAGATATGGACGGGATTATCGAGTCTCGACAAGTACCGGCATCTTTTGCGAGTCTGATTCGAATTACGCTTCTCGTAAGATACCTGTCTATCGAGCCTATGCCCCTAATGACTCTTTTGTTGTCATTGAACGAGTCAAAATGCAACCCACGAGGTAATCGTGTTGGCGCCTAGATCCAACAGTGAAGGAAGTCCGCAGTCCTGGATGAGAGTCCAATGGCAGTGAAGGGAGGACGTCAGCGGGCACTTTGATTCAAGACTTCGACGTATCTGATTCTGTACATACGTACTGTACGTACCCAAGTATTGAGGGAAATGCCAATCTTAGCAATAGCGGGAAGGTGACAAATGTGAAGGCGAACTAATGTGATTACGCAATGATGAGCTTTGCAGCCGCTAGCGTTTGTGGGTGGATGCTACAGATGGATTCTCTCGGACATCTAAGGTAGATGTTGAAGCATGAGGTCAGGAAGGAACGAAAAACGCGCTTGCCGACCGTTTCCCCGTTGCTCCGACAATAGAGCCATCATGAATACGAGTAGCTACCGCATATTCGAAATTAGACATACCTGGTCAAGATGGTAATGAACGAGACTTCAGGCTCAATCTCACGGTATCATAATATATGGCTCAGCAAATGCCGGGCTGATCCATCGTTCACGCGTCACGGACGAAGTCCGGAGGTTTGAAGGAAACAGACTGCTCTCATGAGACTGATAAACTTCTGCTGCCAATCTGCGCGCCTCGCTACATCAGTAGGTGGGATATCGTAATTGCGAGTTGGCTCAGGCATCAGGTTCGGCATAGCATTATTTGCGATACACACAATCATCGTCTTGCGAAAAGGTATTTACTCGGCCACTTGATCGGAGATCAGTACTCATGAATGGGATTCAGTCAAATTCATCTGAGCTGCAAGCTCCGCTGCAAGCGAAGAACGCGGATGTATGTTGCATGCGAACTTCCGGGGGAAACTGAGCATGACAGTTAAGCTCGAGCTAGCGAAATTCTTCTGGGGACATCGTACCTCGTGCTGCCAGTGATGAAGGACACAATAGGTTCAATTTCATTCCCGGCAGCATCGGTAGCTTTGCATATGTTCATAGTAGCTGCAATGCTTGCTGCCGCAAGCCAGAAATTGAGGTCGGCCACTGCACGGCCAGAACAAATACTAATCCTCATGGTCAGCTCCAGCATGCACCTCGCAGTAATCACACACACCGTCGGCCAAATCCGAAGACATACTTCTTTGGATCCGCGCTATTGAGCGCTGTGGGGTCCATGCCTTCAAATCTCTCAGGACGGAAGGCGTCTGGATCAGAATATATAGCTGGGTCCCGCGACATAGCCCTAAATTCCTTACGTCAGATACTTGGGTCACAGTCTGGGGAATGCTTTGTCGCTTACCAGGTATTCGGTACGATGGTGGATCCTCGAGGTATGAAGTAATCTCGATATACATCATCCTGAATGAGTCGATGAGAGACACCTGGAAACAGATTTTATCCGTCAGCCAATCAGTATTCCGGAGACACGAGTTCAAATATATGCCTAGCGGCAGAGGTGGATTCCATCTACAATTTGTCATCAGTTTTTACCTCAAATGTACAAATTTTACAATGCGTCACCGATACACTTCCATAAGCACGCACTCAAGGTACGGCATATCCTTCCTGCCTTCGAACTCTGGAAGCCGCTCGCCGCCAGTGACAGAATCTATTTCTTCTTGCAATCTCGCAAAAGCATCAGGATGCACGAGCATCGCGAGAATGAACGTTGTGAGGACAAGCGCAGTCTACAGTGCGACGGAGTCAACACACAACTGTTCTCGGGATTACAGATGAGACTGACCGTCTCGGCGCCAGCTCTGACCAATGGTTGAACTCCCGAAATAGTGATAACATTGCAATGCACTCACCAATCCATAAAGTAGATACGGCACCCTTGACTAACTCTTCCTCATGTGCGGTCATCCTCCCATTGAACTTCTCGTCTATCAGACTGGTAGCGAAGCACGGTTTCGACGTCCCAGAGCCCTATGGAGTGTTCAGTCGGCGTACATTGTGGTACGGTGCCCACAGCCTCCTACCGAGTTCTTGCGCACAGTATCGAAAGGGAGCTCCATCATCTGGCGGATCGCACCTCTGACATGTGAGACAAGGCGTTTGGAACCAACTCCAGGAATCCAGCCGGGAATGTACTGGACTAATCGGCGATTAGTCCTGATCGACTTCCAAGTTGAATACCAGAACCCACGGAAAGGGAAAAAGTCGAGGGAAGATGCAACGAAGCTTCCTGACTGGAAGATAGCCTCCATTGCTTCTTCCGCTACGGGAGCGAACTTGTCTTCCGCAAATGATTCATCTAGAGAGTATCCAACCTCCAAGGTGAAGCTGCTCGCGTATCTTGCGCATGGATATAAATTTAGCTAGACATGGTCTGGAGATCGGGAGGTGAAAGGTACCTCTTAATGTGACTTAAGAAAGAGTCCGGGGAAGTCGCCAATCTAGCGATGAGCTTGTCCACACCGCTTCTCTGAAGAGGACGGTAACTAAGCAGAACATTGCGAGTTTGCAGCGCATCCTGCATCCACCGCCTTTGATGCCGCCAGTCGTCGCCGAAAGGGAGTATTGACAGGATTGGCTTCCATTCGTAGCTGAAGAGTAACCGTTAGCGATGCGCAGCATCTGCCAACAAGGGAACAGTTCCTACATGTTGTTGAACAGTACAAACTCCGGGCGGTCGGAGTATATGGCGCCTCTCTTTTCCATCAGGTCTTGAGCGGCTCGCAGAGAGTTCAAGATCACAAAATGTTTCCGGCACAGTCTGGCGTACACCACATCGCCTGGGAGAGGTTATATTCACATAAAGAACAAGAAACACGTTGCTCACCGTAATTACTGCCCCATTCCGTGAAGGTCTTAAACTGGTGCGGACGGGGAATGAGTTGCAGGCTGCCAAGGAACGGGATCCCTTGAGGTCCTGGCGGAAGACGTTTATTCTTTGGCACAATCAATCGAACACATGCGAGATATAACACAGCGGCAGCTAGAATGGTGAGAATATCCCAGGATTTGGAATGTAGCTGCTCGAGGGCACTTGAGATACTCATTGGCATGCTCATGGCGAATGCTGAACAGACTTACGGTCAGGTCCTTTATATAACACTTGCAGGGGCGTGGGAGCTTTTACAAAACGAAATAGTCATCTTACGAGAGTAGTTCACTAGGCTCCCGCCAGAAGCCTGCTGTAAAGACAGCGATAGCTATCATCTAGCGAAATGTGGACATTAGCGGAAGCACGCATAGTCAGGAGTACAAGGACACGGAGCATTGACAGCATGCGCGGACCCCCGAAGGCATAGCATGTAATAGTCATAGCCAGTGTCCCGGTACTCCCTGAGATGCAGCATATATGAAGTTTTGTGGCTTCCATTCAGAAGTTGTGATGAAATACAACTTCGCCGATCAGCCTATGCAGGGTCGTATCTACTGCTCCGAGAGGCGACCAAGGCATCGGAATATTGTATCTTACTGTGGTTAACTGCTCTCTTGTCACTTCATAGTGTAAGAGCCAAACCACGTACACGAGGTATTGAATAGCTATCAGTCCACTCACACACGGACCCTTACAGAAAATTAATGTCACCACGTCAACGCAGTCTGTCGACATCAAACATATAGCACGAGTGAGGTACGCACAACCGGGAACAGGCGCTACAGGGGACACATTGAGTCATTGGACCCATAGTATCTGCGCGTGACTCGTAGGTATCTGACAAAGCGGTAAAGCTGGTAGAGGCTAAGGTTCGGTCCAATAAGATGTGATACATCGGGGTCGTCGTGAGCAGCTGGCTACTCGCATTCATCGCTATGTGGATTAGCGTGCACCTTCCTGAGCTATGAGCTCAGCAACCGTCTGGTTTTGTGGGCGAATGCTGCAAACAAACTCTTGTGGGGATCTGAGATGATACTCGATTAGCGTAGGCCATATATCAATGTAACAAAGATATACCTGGATAGGCCAGTTATAAAAGATGCCGTAGGCTTTATCTCATTTCCATTAAGGTCACGGGCCTTGCGGATGTCCAGGGTAGCTAGAACGGTCGCTGCCGCTCACCAAATACTCATATCCGCTAGATGACGTCCGGGACAGATGCTACAAAGAGGAAAGTGTTCACAAAGTAAACGGATATGGCATTCAGCTGCAAGCACAGCGTGACTCACCGCCTGCCGAACCCGAAGATATATCTTTTTGGATCCCACGCCTTGACTTTCTCGGCATCCATTTCCTCGAATCTCTCAGGTCGGAACACATCCGGATCATGGTAAACGGACGGGTCGCGCGATATAGCCCTGCTAGTACATGAGACAAGGCAAGAACGGTTCGAGATTTGGCCCACCAAATGTTAGAAATCACACTCGATCCCTTCGGCAGGAAGTAGCCTTTGTATATGTCGTCTTGTGACAGAGAATGAGGGACACCTATGTGGGAATGTCAGGATTTACGCTGCTGGAAATGCAAGCCAGCGTACCTAAGGGTACGGGAGGGTTCCAGCTGTTCTGGTGTTAGTATTGAGCTGCGTCAGGTAGTGTATTGTCGTACCGATAGACTTCCAACAGCACGCATTCAAGGTAAGGCAACTGCTTCCTGTCATGGAACTCAGGAAGTCTCTCGAAACCGACGACAGCATCGATTTCCTGCTGTACTTTCTGCAAGATCTCAGGGTGGAGTGTCATGGTCAAAATGAGGGTCAAGAGCACGACTGCACTCTGTGCAACGCCATAGTCAGGACTTTCAACATTCCTTAGAATCATACATGTTATGCCCACCGTCTCGGCACCGGCTATGAGGCGTCATGTCAGGTACGCTCTCCGAAACGGGGGAACTGCACCTACCGACATACAAAGTGGCAGCAGCGCCTTTAATGTGAAATGCGACTTGCGGCGAAAGTTGTCCATTCTCAGATTTTGCTTCAATCCACGCAGAAGCAAACGAAGGCTTGTACACTCCAGACGTCTGTGTCATGTGTCAGACGAACTGAATGCAAGTCGCCGGATTACGCTCACGATATTCTTGACCAGCAAATCAAATGGTACGTCCAGCATCTGACGTATCACGTGTCTTGCTTTCGCCGCATCTCGGTTGTATGCTGCCCCAGGCATCCATGAAGGGACATACTTTACTGCGTGCACGGAATATTGTGAGCTGAGCCCCAAACGTCTGTCGGATGTACACACAGATTGGGAAGAAGTCAACAAGCGAAGCGACTATGGAGTCAGAATAGAAGACGGCATGGACCGCGTCTTCAGCCGTCCTATTGTATGCATCGTCCGCCGTTAGTTCGTCCATACCATAGCCAATGTCCAAGGTGAAGTCGCTTGCGTATCTATAACGAGAGGGAATCAGCTGCGCTCAGTGAGACATAGCTCCATCAACTTCACCGTTGCACATGGGCAAAGAACGCATCCGGAGAATTGAGTAGTTTGATAATCAGTTTGTTGACGCTGCTTTTCAGTGGTGTATGGAATCCAGTCAGCGCTTTCTCTGTTTCGAAGCCAGCTTGCAGCCGCTTCCTGTGCTCTCGCCAGTCGTCATCGGCATTGATAAATGTTGTAACAGGTTTGAAATCGTATCTAGTGTGTCTTTGAAAGTACGGCCGTGGATACGGCGATGCAAAATGACTCACACATCCTCCCATAGTATGAATCCGGGCCTGTCAGAGTAGATCGCGCCTTTCTTCTCCATGAGGTCTTGTACTGCACGTAGCGAGTTGAGAATGATCATGGGCTTCCTGAATAGTTGGGCATAGACGACTTCTCCTGGAGGAGAAATGAATAGTATCAACACACAGTGGTCCTCGCAGCGCGATGCAAACACATACCATATGTATGTGCCCACTCTCGGAATGTTTCATGTTGATCCTTGAAAGGCAGCTGACGAAAGTTTCCGAAGAATGGTATAGGGGTCGGGCCAGGCGGAAATGCCTTGTACTTCCTGTGAGTCCATCGAGTCCACAGATAGTATGCGAGGAGGGATAGTAACACGACCGCAACTTCAGATGTTCTGATCGATGCGAGGACCCCAGGCATCATGGTTGTCCGTGCTGTCAGCCAACAGCATGTGTAACTCAGTGTATATATGCCTTGACCTGGTTCCCGAAGCGTCACAAATATATTGGTCATTTTATCTGTGAGGGTATCTTCATTTGATTCCGATGGGCCGAGCACTCGGTGTGAGAGCGTTGTTCCCGCTATGAGTATGCCTGTGTCACCAACATAGAAGCACATACATTCATCGAGGGCGACATTCCAGAGCAGTAATAGCCCCCACCTTATATTCGGGGGAAGAATCATAACGGAGAAGCTATTTTGGAACCGTGTATGAGACCTTCCTGACCTCGACAGGAAAGGGTCGCATAAGCGAAGCCTGCAGTTCGTTCTGGCATCGTATGATTGGTATCCACGCAGATAGTGGAAGCCAACAGACGAAGACAATGGTGAACGGCCCAAGCGTACGCCGAAAGAATTGAAAAGAAGTTTAGAGGGAGGGGAATTTCAAGAGGAGCAACTATCTAAGACTATCAAGGCTGTCTCCTAGGAAGTAAAGCTCAATAATGCAGTCATGAACGATGGGGACTCACCTGTCTCGACTACTTCGAGCGTCGATGCAAGCAAAGTGTTGCAGTCACCAAGAGGTACATCTATTCGCTTTAGCCACCGAATGCAAACAACGTGTTTCTCTAGACAGAATATATTGTGTCAAATACTACCAAGGGGTATCAAGTTAATTATAGTATGGGAAGATTGTGAGAGCACCGGAAACGCCCGTCATTTTCTTCCGCAGGATCATATTTGTATGTGTTTATGTGGCGCTTCGTTGTTTGCTGTGACAACGCTGACAGGTCAATTTTGAGTACTTGGGAAATAACCTGATAGGACTCTGTGACACGTCATGAAATACATGCCGAGCTGGTTGAGACGGGAGGTACACCAGGCACAATCTCTAACACCAGTTCCCGAGCTTGCTGCTTCTAAGTGTCCGTAGTGTCTTCCAAGAAGCGCCGTTTTGCCGGATTTGAATTGAGAGACTCTACTTCGGAATTCATCACCTATCGTGTTCTGATCAACTCAGTTTAAATGACTTCCTATCTGCACAATACGACCGAGACTTGACGGCATGAGTATGCTACTGCAGCTCGAAAGCACATCTCGTCCGGGGTAGTGTGGTAGACTCTTTAATGTCGAAATGTTCCCAATGAGAGAAATATTACTGGGACGAGGCCGTGACCACGTTACCCAATATCTTGACTCAGGCTTTTGTTTGTTTCGAGAATTTGAGCTTCGAGAGGGTGATTGAGCGCTTGCATATGTCAGAGATCACGGGTATTATTGTCTTACAATGGAGCTGCATGTATGCGAGTCAACGAATCGGACTGTGGCTATCAGTGCCTCGCGACAATGATTCGAGGGGGGAAACCGCTGGTCTGGTGGGTAGTTCCTTATCCATCGATAAGGCGAGGGCTCCGACCATGTATCCTTTGACAGCATTTCAGGGTTGCCACAGATGCGATTACCAGCCAAAGCACTCGTTATACAGTGTGTTTACAACCGATTGATGTTGTTGAAGTAGAATTGTCAGCATGTTTCATTCAAATAGTCGCGTGAGCACCCCATTTCATGGTGATATCACGTACAGTTCCCCTGATAGCCCAAAACGAGTGACAAATATAGTACGCTGTCGATACGCAGTTGAGTCAGCTTCGTACGAAGCGATAGATTTGCAAGCACGTACCCGGCTGCACCCGACAAGTGCTTCGTTGTGGAATTGTGACATGATTATGCCTGTGACTTCTGCGGCTGTCGGCCTCCGCTACACCTCGTGATGTCCTAAGGAATAGAAGTCTATGAATATCCACGAAGAAGCGTGGCCCATAGGGTTTCAATGAACCCGGTTGCTATTCGCTCAGCATATCTTCGGTGTCATGACTGGAAGCCTCTGTCGACTAGAACAACGTCAGGTCGGAAGTTTTTCCCAATGCCCAGTTGGCGTGGTGCCGTAGTCTTCTGGCCGCTGTTACACGTCACACGTTTGCTTGAGTTCTGTCCTACCACCAACTCGGTCGCGCATCGGAGCGATATACCAATCACTTGGACTCCACGTTTGTCATGAAACAAAGTGGTTCCCGGCGATATAACGCCTCATGATACATATTGCCGCATCCGGTGCGCGCAAAGGCTGTGATAGTCGGAATCTCTGTATCGATAGGTCAAGACAGGGTGTCGCGTATCGCAGCCACGGTAAAGGGTTATTTCAGGAACACGACATGAAGATATGCAAGACATTTTACTCAACGGTAACGCCTCGCGAAGTACTCTTACTCGGCAAGCTACCTTCTTGAAACCACGCTGCAGTAAGGAGGAAATCGATGCAGCTTGAGAGCGACGGGCACGAGCCAAAGCCCATGTCGTCGCTTATGTGCATTCTGGAAGACTCGCACTCGACGTGGTATAAACCTTCATGATGGGGATATCAGTACTGAGCGTTCGCAGGATTCAAGATTTTCAACGTTGAGGATCTAGTGACTGAACATACCATGAGCAATCTTGCGCGACCCATGCCGCCGCGGATACACGTACGCGAGCGATATTCACGGCGTATTTGACTTCATTTGTTCCACTCGAAAGACGAGTCCCAGCGGTGGGCTCGCTCCCCTCGCAATCATACTGCCTTGTTTGAGAAATGCTGTAAGCCACCTGGAGAGGGAGGCACTTACCATTATGCCATCAAGAATAACTGTAGTGCATCTACCGTGATAACACTTCATCACCATAATGTATTTGGTAGCTGGAGAAGCTGAGAATGTCATTTGGGTAATATGAACAAAGACAGGCAGTTGTTGCATCATAATGGCAGCATCAGGCAGCGCGGGCACCCACTTAGGGTCAAACAACTTATAAAACAGGAGACACGCTCCCTTGGGATGATCCCTGGCGCCGTCAATTTAAGGCTGGATGTTGGGCGACCGTGGTACCCTCCGTCTTATACGATGATATTGGAGCTGCAAATCCACTTTCAATTAACACAAAACGGTATATTGGAGCGCTATGCACGTACTCATACTGGCTCAGAGGCTACAAACGAATCTCGTAATCAACATCCTCTTGGAGCATCTGCATGACAAGGGATTTCACAGTATAGGATTTGCAAGAAGAAAGCGCGCCACACTATCTCGTGGTTGGTCAAGAGCGCTACATACCTTTAGTAATGCACGAACTCATTCTAGCATCGAGACTGAAGACAGTATGGAAAGTACCCTTCGTAGACTTCTTTCACAATGGCCCACTGCACATCTAGAGTGAGTCGCAGCAATCAAGAGGCAGTATATAAGAAAGGTGTCTGCCTCACGGACTGTGGTAGCGACTTTATGGTGTAGACGCTCGGGAGTCTGGACGCGACGCGGTCACGTGCTCGTCCCCAAACCTGCCCGCCGACTCCTGCGATTTACCATATCGTTGGCCCGCCCCTTTCACCCTTGACAAGGCTCAGCGTCGACCTTCTCCAGATCGCCTTCAGCTTGTCGTGCCAGAATCTTGCCTCACTTGAATACTTCGCTTATCCCTTTACATACCGGGTCTGCTGTCACATCGTCCAGGACCTGCACATCGTCGCACCGCACAAGGCTCCATGACATTAGTCATCAAGAAAGAATTATACAGCCTCATAAGCTTATTTCCACTTGCTAGTCATCGTGTAGTCGAGGCCGTGAATTCCGCGCATGGCCGCCCACGTACTACAGCGCTTCATAGCCTCATGTCGGCATCTAGGGCCTCTCCCAACTGCTCAACCCTGGCCTTTTGACTACACTATGAGCTCGTTGACGACCCCGGACCCTGTCCACGCCTCCCAACCTGTCCGCTGCAGTGAAGATTTACCGCTATGGTCGCCTGAGCCCACGAGGCATGGCGAGGTCCTTGTCGGTGATGTGGGCTACATCCGTCATAGGGTGTTCTATCTCAATGCGACGAAAGCCGCGGACGACCTTATACATAAGGAGTACGGCGCCCCGTGAACCATATTCTCGAGGTAAGTAATACTATCATTTCCGATGAGGGCATGTATTGATGATTCATAGCACTCTGAGGCAGACGTTGTAATCGCGAATGATAGAGACTTAATCAACCTCTGTAAGGTGATGATTATCTCTTAAATGCCGACGATGCTGCTTATAGCAACTACAAGGGAGGAGATTCCTGATGATACACAAGCATTCTTGCGCAGCGTCCAGCCCACTATCGAGGTCAACGCGGACAAACGTAGGTCGTAGGCGTATCCGCATATCACATATATTTGACCATGCCTTCAGTCGGCATACTTTCGTTTTGAAGATTTTAATGCAATTGCGGCTCAGACGGCAGCAGAAGACGCGGAACAGCCAGAGACCGACGAGCAGGTACAAATCCACCCCGATCCCAACACAGAACCAACCCTACCACCTGAACTCGATATCGCCGAGAACCTCGAGAGGAGGCTTATTGTGCGGCACGACATCGCGTGTATGCTCCTTGGCCTTGGCGCAGACGCTCACCGCGGCAGCGTGTGCGCATTGGGATACTGTGGAGTACGGGGTTTTGCAAAACATTTTGATGCCTGAGCCTATGTGCTCGAGCGAGCAAAATATCTACTGTTCTACCAATCAGGCATCATTTTTAATGGTCTTGGCAGTTCGTATACCAAGTTTCAAGGAAGTCCATGATGAATTGCGAGCAGTAGAGAGGTGCCGGCTGGAAGCAGCTAAAGTGCGGTAGTTCTGCAAACTCTGTCACTCACGGGTCACGGCGGCAAGTTCAAACTCCGCCGTGGCAGAAGCTGCAACAGCGCGACCAAGCGTGTCATCTGCAATCACGTTTGAGGGCGGGGATTGAATCATCCCGCATGGTGGCAGGGAATGTCACGTTCGTTTTGCAAACCATCCACACACCGCGATTCATTCTATTGACAGCATATCGGGCTGGAGGACCAAGAAAGGCATGGTTGGAACATACTAGATCGGATGTCCGATTGGGGACAACAGCTCATAATCACTGTACATCTGTCTTATCAAGAATTTGCAGAAAGCCATACAAAGTGTCTGAAGGCTCCCATTCCACAACAAATCAATTTCTCCTCAATCGGCTTCACAAGTAGACTACAATGTATGTCTATAATGTCATACAAGTGTCAGAAGTACAGTCTTTCAGGTAGAAGACGAGATCACGGTGTTTTGCAAAATTGATCGACTTTGCAAAACCCCGTACTCCACAGTACTCCGCAAACGGCCTCTCAGTCGCCAGCGGCTATGAAGACTCCACCATCATCCTGTGGTATCCCGCCACCGGAGGTTGTATCACAGAGCTAAAAGGGCACACAGACACCATCTGCGCACTCGCACTCTCACCGGACAGCTCGCTGCTTGCCTCTTGTTTCCGCAATCGCTTGATCATCCTATGGAACGTTGCTGCTAGCGAGAAGACCGTCGCGCTCAACGGTCATGACGGCTTCATCGAGACACTTGCGTTTTCTCGGGACGGCAAAAAACTCGCGTCCGGGTCTGTCGACTGCACAGTGCGGATATGGGATGTGGAGAGTGGCCAACAGCAATCACTGTGCAAGGTCCACAACGCCCTCGTCATGGTCGTCACGTTCTCTCCCGACGGCACTCAGCTCGCGTCCGGGAGTGCCGACTGCGACACGCGTGTGTGGGATGCTAAGACTCGTGGAAATTTCTGCTCTCAAGGGCCATCAATGTGTGGTCTACTCTGTCCTTCTCTCGCCCGACGGCCGCCGCCTGGCCACGGCATCAGACGGACGCATTATCGTCCCTTGCTTTCTTCTTCCCTGTGTCTGCTTTCTTTCCTGGTGTCGTTGAACTGCCGTCCCTTTCCGACCAAGTGTCGCACCAGTCAGCTCAGGCCAGCATCCACCTTCCTTCTTCATTGATCCTCTTTCACAATGTTCGCAAAATCCCTCCTCGCGCTGGGTGCCTTGGCTGCTCTCGTCTCTCCCGAGCCCGCACTTGCTTGTCCTCTGGCCAGCCGTTACGAAGTCCCAACCCCCGCTCCGATTCCCCGCGACGACACATCTACGTGCAAGGTACGCACCCCCCCATACGTACCAAGCTCGGGCATACTTAGCATATGTCCAGGTAGTTACTGTGACCGTGGATGATTCTGCCGCGACCTCGACTGTACGGCTTTTATTCAGTGTGTCGTCAATCTGGCCAGAGACTGTGCAGGACAATATGCCGCAAAGCACGATAACGGGCGAGTGGAATAAGGCACAGAACAGGGCCTGTTTCGAGGCGGATGTCCTTAAGCTGCGTGGCAACTGCTGGTAGAGAATGGCACTGTTCAACGAGAGTATCCTGTCTCTTCGCCTGGTCCGGGCGTCAATACAGTACTCTGCGCAAGGACTGGCTGGTAACGGTCAGGAATTTGTTAGGAGGGGGTGACCCTTTTCGGCATTCTAACCGCTCGAGGTGTGGCAGGCGTGTGTTGTTGCCATTGCGCCCTATCAGATAAGAGAGGGCCGCTGAAAATATCAGGCTCGTAGACCCACGTATGATCGCCGACCTCTTGTAGACCGCGTCTTGAAGCTGGGAATACGAAACAGAACCTGAATAATGTACAACGCGGGCTGCCCGACTACAAGATTTCTGGTTCACGTCTCGGAACCAATGCTTCCTTCGGTTGCTGAGTCCCTCCCCAAGATGCTGAAAGATGAGATACAGAATGTCCATTATCTGGAGAGCTTTATGCGTTCTGATTCAGAAGTCAAGGGGATAACCCAGACCAGAACAGTAGCATCGCACGGTGCAAAGCATTCCTGAACGTAAACGAGATCGGAAAGGATCAAATTCATCCAAGAACGCCTGGCACGTGCTCAGACGTGTGACGTGTCTCTCGGGACATCTAGCTATTACTTAACTCAATTCATTTCCGACCACAGGTGGACTCAGTTCCAGATGAACTACAATCTCAACCGGTCTACAGCTTGTGGGACGTCTTCTTACTACATACAAACACTGGACGAAAACATATCACGTCGTGGTTACCCACGCAAGACTGATGTCTATCTCGGCGCTGCGAACTTCAAGTCGAAAGAACCCCGATTTGTCGAGCCTTGATCTGAAGAGCCTTAAGTATCATCAGTACTCAGTTATCATCATTAGTGTGCCTGAAATTGCACATACCAGTATCCTCGACATGAAACGTGCCATGGAGAAATCACCGGCCCCGTACCACAGCTACGCAACATAATGATCAGTCATACGTGTACCCTCGAAGTGACTGTACCCACTCCTGGGTGTCCAGTCGGGCGGTAGCTTCCCCGCGTCTCTCCTTCCTCGTCCATTCCCCAGACCAGCCCTGCTTGTTCTATGACATCAATGCCGAAGATTGGCCTCAGACGGTCGCGCAGATCCCCGTAACCCGTCCTGGTATGCACATACTGTAAGTGTGACGTACAAAATCAACAAAGAGAGCTGTTACGCAAAAATGACCAGGTCAGCTGGCATCTTCGAGCCATCAGTGAAGACAACACCATCGTGGGTGTATTCTGTGACTTCCACGCCTTGCTTGATCCTCACGCGTCCCGAATCGATATAGTCTGCAAGGCCTACGTCCCACCCTGAAAGTCTCCTCAATGAGCGTCCACAGAAAGATAAAACAAGACAGTACAGTAGCCTACAATTCTGTCAGCTCAACAATGGCAGGAACGACAGGGCGCGTAAACCTACCTCCTAAGCGTTCCAAGCCGAGAGTTAGATATCCGGACCCATCGCCCATGTTCAGCTTCATCCCTCCTTTCTTGAGTTTTGCATGCAAGTCAGCCTCTCTCGCCCAAAGGAAAGACTCCGACGCCTTCAGCATTCTCCTGATGAGGTTTCTCGGTGTAGAGAAGAATCTGAGATCGCAGACATCGATGGACAGGTCCTCACGGTAGAGGGCTCCTATTTCCTCAGTAGAGGTCTTAATGGACACGACGCAGGTTGACGAGCGCTGGACCATCGTGACGGATGCCGCGCCTTGGAAGGCAAGATCCTGGCAGATGTCCGCAGCCGATTGGCACGCACCGACAACAATCGTGCGTTTACCAACGTAGGGCTGTCCACCCTGATATGCGACTGCGTGCATGACCTCGCCCCGAAAGACGTCGCTATTCGAAACGTGTGGCATTTGCGGGGGTCCGGTAATTCCAGCAGCACAAATTATGTGTGCTGGTCGAAGCACGATGTCAGCACCGTTTCGGCTAATTATGACCGTCCATCGTCCGCTCGTATCGTCATACTGCGCGCACGGCTTGATCTCAGAGTCTGTCCACACCACCAAATCCTGTGAAACAGCATATTGGTCCATCCAATCCGCGAGCTTGTCTCGGGGTGAGAATGTGGGCCAATTCTCAGGGAAGGGTTGATATAGGACTGCACGAAGTATTAGCTACGAGACCCGCACTCGCGACGAATGCACTAACATCGACAGAATTGTCTGGTGGTGTGCAGAGACAGTGTCGGATAGCGCTGACGCCAGTTGTCTCCGACACGGTGATTCTTCTCCACAACCAGCGTCGGAATACTCCACTGCTTGAAGCGCGCGGCAATGTTCAGGCCGTTTTGGCCAGCGCCGACTGGCTACGAGGTTGAGCAGTGAGCATTTTACTATGCACTGTACTCATGAATGACGACATATGGGTCCTTCTCGATAGATGCGCGACGCTCCGCGAGTACCTCAGCCCAAGAGAGCGTATGCCCGCCATAGACTCCGAGCTCGGGCCCAAGCTCCTCATGACCCTTGATGTCTTCGACCATCAAAAACAAAGACATGGCCTTCCACTCTTTTGTAATGTCGCATGTACTTGGAAATAACCGCACGTATCCACGTCCACGACGGTGCGGCATTTCAAACGTGAATCCTGCACCGACGCCGACGTCAAGAACAGTCTCGGGCGCCGCTCCTGCTCTGTCGTCTAGCTTGAAGTTATATAGGTGCGTCGAGACCAGCGTGGGCACCAGATATGCCGAGATACTGGCATGGCCTTCCAGGGAGCGAATATCCCAAGTGAACACTAGCCAGTCGCGCAGGAAACCATCGGGGAGAATAGTGTCGACAGTCGCAGCGACATCACCCCGGAATGCTGCTAGAGCAAAGCCATGCAACCAGGCCGCAGCAATGTCGTGGGGCTCCATGGTCTTGATCGGCTGTGAGCTGCAGGCCTCTACGCCCTATATACGCTTCTGCCCCGGGCCCATGCGGCGATTATGTCCAGCGAGGGCGCCTGGACCCGTCAGCAGGTATGACTTCCCTTCCTCAAGAATCCTCAGCGACACGATTCTCAAGGCGTCCCTTGTCATCTATTCCTTTCGTTTTCATGACTATAGATAATAAACAGTTACCTCTCAGATTGAGGAGATCAACACCAAGTGTGAGAATCTTGGCAAAGTACTGAAACAAAGCCCCCCCTTCACGGAAGCAATCTCGATAAGCGATGGCGTCTACGATGTTTTCAGGAATATGCATGCCATGGTGCCCCACGCTTGAGCTGCAAAACGATCCTGAATCTTAGTCGGTTATTTGATGTCCCAGAAAGCCATAGTCAGTCTCATGCTACTTCACTGCGTCCTTGACAGTATCAAAACGATGCCGTCCCTGTTATTTACGGTGGGAATATCTGAGCTCTTGCGCACAAACTGGGGTCATTGTGTAGGCGATCCTTCCAAGCTCCTCCGTATAGCGATCGCAGATACGGCACAATATACAACGGTGCTTTTGTTGTCTCGCTGAATGCGGAACGGATATACACCACGTACCGAGCATTCTGCTAGCTGTAGTTTATCATGCCAACGTAAACGATATCCCTATTACTCCGGTCATCACGTCAAAACACCGGAGGCAGTCCAAGAAACTCGCGTGCAGCCTGGCGCTTGGCCGCAGTGTCGCCCTTGACGGGTTGGTCGTACGATTTCAGCAAGTGTTCGTAGCGCTCCTCTGTTTGGTCGCACGACGATGTCGTCAATATACTTCGACAATATGACATCGAGATACGCACTCGTCATGCGCTCGAACTCGCCCTTCGTCCCTGGGAAGTTAGCGGGGGTCTTTCCGTTGGCCATCACGAGCGGAGAAATCGGCGTCTTATTTATCGGGATCACCGCGTTCCTCAGGCGCGCATACAGGCGCGACTGGCTGCATCGCGGGAAGACCGTTAGCGCTCGCGTGCCGCCCCGGAACTGCAGCAGGGACACAGGCACTCACTCGAGGCGCACCGTTTCAGCGAGCTTATCGACCTTCTTCTGCAGCTCTTCTACTGTCTTCGCGAGGTCCGTTGGCTCCGCTTCTGGCGCCCCGGTTCCCGGAGCGCGAGGCTCCTCCTCGACTGCAAGCGCTCCGTTCGTGGACGGTGCGTTGTCTGCCTTGCCCATGTGTGCGCGCACGGCGTCGAGCTCTTCCGCAAGATGCTCCTGCGTGCGCTCGATTGCGTCTAGGCGAGAGGCGAGCGCTGCGATCGCGGTCGTACTGTCCGTCGGTAGGACTGCGGGCGTCCCGGCAGGTACCTCGACAGCTGCGAGTACGTGCGAGGCGGCGGTAATTTGGTCTGCTATGGTGCCGAAGGATGTAGAGAGGTGCTGCGTCCAGAGGTCGGCGTTGGTGGCCGTCACGGTGTTTGGCGGTGAGTTGGGAGAAGCAGCGGCGTTTGGTGGTAAGCGGAAGTGATCTACGAGGGTGGCGCTCGAAGATGCTGTTGTACCGGGCTGGGTAGCCATGGCTAGGGCTCGCAGAGCCTCTTATGAAGGAGGAAGTGAGTCGCTTGGCAGACGTGGAAGCTGGCGCAAGATATATTCGCACTAATCGAGAGTGACAGTCAGGCAAATAGATCGCTGTCGTCTAAGCGTGTGCTCCTTGTCGATGACCTAAGAATACCCGCGCACATTATACGCATTTGTACAGTCTGCTGGAAACTTGAGAGCCTTTTTTGCCATACTGGTATATGTATGTGTGCATGTGGGAAGAAATGGGAGATGTGCCGGCCACCCGGTGGGAAAGCATGTCGGGTTGGACGCAGGAGCAGGAGCAAGAAGAAGGATTTCTCTGCCGACGTGGGTATATAAACCACTTCCGAGAGGTCGAGAGCGATACCGACTAGAGGCGCGGGAAGCCACTGCTGTCTAGTGTTGTAGACAGTAACGGACGGAGACACAGATGCGTTGATGTCATTTGCGACATTTGTGTTACAGGTATATAAGATGCACGTACGCTGATCGACAATTTATTTGTGGGTTCTGGGGTGCGCGGGCAGTACTCACGGAGGAGCATCACAGCGCAACGTGCTTCTTCGTACCTGTGAGACCGGGGGCAACAAAGCTTCACACTGAGAGTTTCCGGACCCGATGTTGCCTGTATGCGCGCTCCCTCATCAACTATCGCAGGGGTATCCGGGGAAAATGAGTTTCCATTTGGCAGCACCTCGGACAGACGTGGGATGGGGCTCATTCGTTGAGTCGCTAACATGTCACATATACGGACTCTAGCCTGGGCCATCAGGGGCGTCTAGACATGTTGCCTTAGAGAAACACCTACAGAACATCAGGTTCGCCGTGTTGTTCGCAGAAATCTGCCGCTCTGCCAGGTACAAGCAAAGGCAACAATCTTTGTAGCACTACACAAGGAAATGTTTGGGAAAACGGTGTTCAGATGTGGGAGTTTGAGACTTTCCCACGGCGTATAGGGTCCGCCAAAAGTTTGAGTCAATTTTTCGACGGAGAGGTCGATGTAGTTATGTAGTTACGGTACAAAATGGCTCGATAGTAAGTATTGCACGCTGCAACACCTGTTGATGTGGTCCCGTACCCAGATTTCAGGCACATGAAGCCCGGCCCAAGTATTTGCTGCCTTTGTTTGTCTGTCCGCAACTGTGTATCTGCCTGCTAGGCAATATTTGCCATTTGGCAGAACCTAATTAGTTTAGTATTTACGTCAGAAGCTTCCATTTGGGTTTACGAGGCTAAGCCCTAATCCGGAGCTTACCCGGCCTCTGGGAATTTGTAACGATTAGATTATGACAGGCGTCTAGCAGAGATTTTCGATTAGGGGTTTGTCCATACATATCCGGTAGCACCTCTTTCCCTCTTCCTTAGCCTTATATCCTCGTCATCACATTGTATCCTTTGGCACTCACTATTAATTGGGTCCTGATGCGTGGTGACCGAGGGCTGGGGCTCAACAGATGTTACATCATTCTCGTAGCAAGACACAAAGGCAACGCCTTAGCGAGCATGTGCAATGCATAGCGATATGCTATCTACCTTGAAGCTTGATCCTCTGGATGAAAAGAGATAGGCCCAAGTTGCAAGTACCGCCCGTCTGTTTTTTTGGTAAAGTTCAATCCAACCCTCGATCGGATGTTTTGGCTCTCATGTCATCGTGTCGAGCGGGAAGGGATCGGTAAGCGAACTTTATACACGCAGCGTCTGTGCTACAGATGTTTCCATTCTTATCTTTTACAGGATACAGGCCGATGCGAAGATCAGGTATTTTCTCAACCTACTTGTCTGTATATGTTGAACCCCCAGACAATGACAGTACAGTGGATAGGTATGCGGTATACGACACGGCTTATACACTCTGTTCTTTGGCAGTACTCAGGACCACCGAGAATCAGCACAAGGCCAATTACTTTTGGCCAAGCCTGTCCTGCTGACCCTGTGTTGATCTAACACTTGTAACCTTACATTCTCATGACTCTTCCCAGGACACTCCCACGCGTCGTGTTCTAAAGCTCGGCAGTTGCTCTTGACGCTCCGACTGCTCGACGTCCCTACATTCTACAATGGACACCAAGAGTGTCGCTGAGAACTGGCTGACGAGGTTTGCTCTGGCTGCCTTCCGGGGCAACGTAGACGCTGCCGTCCAGACTTTCTTTCCGCATGGCTGGCTTCGTGACGCTCTAGTGTTTACTTGGAACACCCGTTCCCTCGAGGGTCGCGACAAGATCTCCGCATACTTGCACGACACGCTACCCGCCGCACATCTGTACAACTTCAAGGTCGACGAACGGAAAGGCTTCAGCCCCGAGCCTGTACTTGAAGGCACAGGTATCGGCATGGGTTTCACGTTCGAGATGCCGGATCGTCGAGGCCGTGGGTATGCCTTCCTACAGGAGGACATGGCTACGGCCGACTGGAAGGCTCTATCGCTTTTTACGATGCTGGATGCAATCAAAGGTCACGAGGAAGTAGGCCCAGAGCCTGGCGTGTATGGCGGGCACACGTTGTCGTGGGAAGAAGTGGACATAGCGCGCAGGAAGCGGATTGAGGAAGATCCGTATGTCGTGATCAGTGAGTACTATCGAGAATGCTCGCTCGCCCTCCCACTTACCCAACGCAGTGGGTGGAGGGCAGACTGGGCTGCAGGTGGCAGCGCGTTTCAGACAAATGAACATTCCAACGATCGTGATCGAGAAGAACAAGGCGATCGGCGATCAATGGAGGCAGCGCTATCCTACGTTGTCTCTGCATACAACGCGCAACCACCACACGTGTAAGGCGCGCTTCATATTTCTATATGAATTGCAGGGTGACATTGAGCGTCCAGTGTTGTACCAACCCTATCCGCAGAACTGGCCGGAATACACGCCCCGGGATAAGCTGGCCAACTGGCTAGAGTACTATGCCAAGTCTCAGGACCTCATCGTCTGGACGAGCTCATACATCATGCCAACCCCAAAATACGACCATGACACGAAACGGTGGAGTATCATAGTGAACAAAAACGGGATGCACGTGCCACTGAAGCCCGCGCACCTCGTTGTTGCGATTGGCATGCTCGGCCCGCCCCGCATCCCTGAGATCGAGGGGCGCGAGCGGTACAAGGGTGCCGTCTTGCATGCAAGTGTGTACATGGGCGGACGTCCGTTTGTCGGGATGGATACCCTCGTCATCGGCGCTGCGAACACGTCCGCAGACGTCTGCCAGGACCTCGCATTCCGCGGCGCGCGGTCCGTCACGATGGTCCAGCGCTCGTCGACGTGCGTCGTGTCGATCAACAACGTGCAAGTGCAGATGTACCGCAACTACCCGGATGGCTCCCCGCTGGAGATCTGCGATATCAAATTCAGCGCGATGCCGCTGAATTTACAAAGGAAGTTCTCGAAGGCGCGGGAGAAGCAATATTGGGAGGCGGAAACGGCGCTTCACGCGAAGCTGAGGAAAGGAGGGCTGAGTCTGAATATGGGCAGGGACGGTTCGGGGCAGCATTTCTTGGTATACGAGCGTGCTGGAGGTGAAGTGGATCTCTCGTCACATCTTTTACAACAACTAACTTTGCCGCATTCTCGTAGGCTATTGTGATTACCATAACTCCTCTGTCGTCATTTGTCTGACGTCGCTTCGCAGGGATTGATGTTGGTGTCGCGGACATGATTGCTACGGGGCGCGTGAAGGTCAAGTCAGGTGTCGAGATCGCACGTTTTACAGAGCACGGTGTCGTATTCACCGATGGTTCCGAGCTTGCTGCTGACCTCGTGGTATTTGCGTACGCTCCACGCACCAGCTTCCTCCGTGGATGAAGTGTCTAACGCTTGCCACGGACGTGTACAGAACCGGCTATATCGACCCACGAGTGAGCCTTCGCGAGCTCTTTGGCGCCGATGTTATCGACCAGACGGACCCCATGTGGGGCATGGATGAAGAAGGCGAAGTACTGGGATGCTATAGGCCATCAAGATACCCAGGAGTAAAGCTTTGATTGGGCTCAGTGTCCGCTTCCTGCGCTGACGAGACTCCCATGCAGCTGTGGTACGGTGCTGGGGATTTCGCCATGTCACGATTTCTGTCGAAGCAGTTGGTAAGTTATCAACTCAAGGACCTGGAGACATCCTTCACGAGCACGTTCGCAGGGTTTGCAAATAAAGGCACATCAGCTGAACATGATTTGATGGGAGTATCATGGTGGGACTTCTTGACTTTGGCAGTCGTGTAGCACCCTTCCACAGAGGTATTACAGGATTATATCATGATTATTCTCGTGGGCTCTGTACGTGGAGATACGAATGGATTGCATAATGACATCGCCCAGCTGTGTTTGTGGCGCCTTCGTGATCTTTAGCAACGGCACTACCATCGATAGTATGGGTTCGTGTTAATTACTTTTACTGCCTAGAGGGTCTGATTCTGCTCACTGTGCCTCCCGATTAATGTCCGTACCTTCGCTCAAACACACACCTGATCTGCGCGCGGCATTGACACCATTATGCTGATGTTGTCTCCCAGGGTACGGTCCCATAGCTGACGAAGACTAGATCGGAACCCGGCCGAAGCAAGGACACTGCATCCCGAATTTAAATGGCTTCGAGACTTCTTAAAGAGGGCCGGTGACCTCTACATTAGTCAAATGTAGAAACGTCAGTGTATGACGTCCTGGGACCTCGTCCCTTGCATAAAAGCTTGCTGAAATAACTCACCTTGACAGGACATCACGACAGATGCTCACTAACGATCTCTCCATGGATTTGCAGGTCATCGCCGAAACCTGGTTGGACACATTTGCACGCGCGACTCTCAGCGGCGACGTCCTCGCTACCGTGCAAACCTTTCTCCCTGATGGCTATCTCCGCGATCAGCTTGTTCTCACCTGGGATTTGCGCTCACTTGAGGGACACGATAAGATCAAAGAATATCTTGTGCCAAGGCTCACCGCAGCTCATTTATCTCACTTCAGGCCTGACACAAGGGCTGGGTACTGTGCTGAGCGGAGCACCAAGGGCGGGGTAGGAGCGGCGTTCACATTCGAGACGCCCCACTGTTACGGCCGTGGCTACGTCCGGTTGTTGCAAGATACGTCTTCTGGCCAGTGGAAGGCGCTGTCTGTATTTCTAGGCGTCGCAGACATCAAGGGATATGAAGAACTCGGACGCGAACCTGGCCATTATGGTGGGCATACATTGTCTTGGACAGACATATTCGCGGAGCGCCGGCGACAGATTGAAAGAGATCCATACGTAATCGTCAGTGAGTGAAGCGGGTGATCACACAGCTCTACGCTGATTATACATACACAGTGGGTGCAGGACAATGCGGTCTGACGATCGCTGCTCGGCTCAAGCAATGGAATATACCGACGCTCGTCGTTGAGAAGAAAGCTCAAGTTGGGAACCAATGGCGCGAACGGTACCCCACGCTTTCCTTGCACGGAACGAGCAACGTTTGCCATTGTATTCTCGATTAATCCTGTTCTCCTGCTCCTTCTAACTTAACAATTTTGCAGTTGCCTACCAGCAGTTCCCAGATAAATGGCCCGAGTACACGCCCCGGGACAAGATTGCTGATTGGCTGCAGCAATATGTTATCTCGCAGGATCTACTAGTCTGGACGTCTTCCACCATCCTTCCTGGAGCTCGATATGACCCGGAAGTCGGACGCTGGACCCTCACTGTCGATCACGCGGGCACACCCGTGGAACTGCATCCCGCGCATGTCATATGTGCCGTAGGAAGCACCGGGCCGCCTAGGATTCCCGACATTTTGGAGCGCACACACTTTGCTGGCAAGGCCATCCATTCGAGCGCATATCCTGGAGGTGCAGTGTTCGCTGGTAAGCATGCGGTGGTGGTTGGGGCTTGTCAGTCAGCCGCAGATATATGTCAAGATCTCGCATTCTGCGGCGCAGCTTCTGTGACCATGGTACAGCGCTCGTCGACGTGCGTTGTATCAATCAAGACCGCGACACGCTATGAGCGTACTTTGTTTCCGGAGGGCGTATCACTCGATGCATGCGATCTGAAGTACCAGTCCTTGCCTGTCAACCTTAATCGGAAACTAGCGCTCGAGAGAGCAGATACACTCCTGGACGATGAGAAGGAGCTGCATGCGAAGCTACGGAAAGGCGGGCTCAGGCTGAACATGGGAAAGGACGGCTCGGGGCATTTCTTCTTGGTTTTTGAAAGGCTTGGAGGCAAGTGCTTTAGCTCGTAAAGAGAATTGTAAACAAGCTGATTCCGAGTATAGGATATTGTGAGTGACGGCACTACCGCGAGCAGATCTAATTCTAACGCCTTGCAGGGTGGGATGTTGGCCTAGCCGATTACATTGAATCTGGCCGTGTCAAGGTCAAACAAGGTGTCGAGGTTAAGCAGTATGTGCCGGACGGTGTGATTTGTACAGATGGTTCCTTCCTCCGTGCAGATGTCGTCATATTCGCGTAAGCCCAGTTGCTTCCACATCTGATCTGAGGTCACGTTGCACTAGGTCGGGTTGGTTGGACTCTCGTGAAAGCCTGAAAGGCATCTTCAGCACCGAGACCGTCGAGGCGACAAAGGCACCGTGGGGCCTAGACGAAGAGGGGGAACTTTGTGGCTGTTACCGCCCAACTGGGCATCCTGGAGTATGTGTGATCCAAGGCTCAAAACGAGTCTGGAAGAAGCTAACAACGTTTGATATGCAGCTCTGGTATGCAGTAGGGGACCTTCTCACTACGCGGGTCTATTCCAGATCATTGGTGCGCCTATGATTGCCGTCTATGTGTTCCCATGGGGCAGAATCACTCACCTTCGCGACTTTGTAGGCGCTGCAAATCAAGGCGAAGCAGGTCGGCATAGCTTCTCCGGAACATGTTCGAGCTCGCTTTTGATGTCGAAAAGATGAAGTACAATGATGCGAGGGAACGTTACGTTGAAGCGCAATGCATCATCTGCGATATCTATGGGGATGTATACATATCTCGAATGTGTTGTTCTGTACACAGCCGTTATCATCACCCAAAACTCGTGCTTTCTCTCAGCAATCAAGTTCCTTTGTGTAGCTCACGTGCGCTTATGCGGTGTTGATGTAAGATTGAAGTACTCCCACACTCATATACGTTTGTGCGAAAGCGATGTTCGCGTTTACTTATTCATCAGTGTCCTTTCTGCAGCTTCATGCAACAGGTCACCTTGAATAGAGCGCAGCTTCTCAAATGTGGTCGCGATAAGCATACGAAACACATCAGTAGTCCAATCATCTTGTCGATGGTCTGCTCTCCTCCTTCTGTTACGTGTTCCAACAATGCGCTAAATGGAAAACGCTGCCACTAACATAATCTAGTTGCATATCATTGGAAATTGACTGTCACATGAATGCTCCGTTGTTGGTAGTACACGTATTATGGTGAACCGTGCGTGGAGAGAAAGGAAAGAGCAAGTCTAGCACGCGATTACCGCTGTCATCAACTACGGGCTCATGCAGGACTATATCCATAGCCACCAAGAGGCATGCTGCAAACGTGATGGCCCGCTGCCATCAAGTATCACCTCGAAATAATATAATTGACACTGGTGGAAATGGCGAACACCATTTTCCTCATTTCCCACTGTGGTGTCACTATGAGCCTGCAATGCGTCGCCGAGACATGGTTACACAGCTTTGCTCTTGCGACAATCCGCGGCGACGCTGCGGCCACAGTGCGGATGTTTCTTCCCGATGGATTCCTCCGCGACCACCTCACCTTGTCATGGGACTTCCACAGTCTCGAGGGACACGCAGAAATCACAGCGTACCTCACATCAAGGCTAGCTGATGCTCATCTTTCAGACTACAAGCTCGAGACAAGACCTGGGCTCTGCGCTGAGACAAGTACCAAGGACGGGATCGGCGCGGGGTTCACGTTTGGTACAGTGCACGGCCTGGGACGTGGTTACGTACGTCTACTTAAGGAAGCGCACTCGGGAGAGTGGAAGGCCATGTCAGTGTATATCGCATTACATGACCTCAAGGGCCACGAGGAGCTCGGACCCGAGCCTGGCGTATACGGTGGACATACGTTGTCTTGGGAGGAAGTGTTTTCTGAGCGCCGCAGGGCGATTGAGAAGGACCCGTACGTGATTGTTGGTACGTGTGTACACCGCGCGATGATGCAGACGACTACTCACTCGTTTCGACAGTTGGCGCAGGGCACAATGGCCTCAATACTGCTGCCCGCCTGAAGCACTGGAACATACCTACGCTCGTCATCGAGAAGAATGACAAGGTCGGAGACCAATGGCGGGAGCGGTACCCAACTCTGTCATTACACTCGATACGTCATTTCTCCCACTGTACGTTCATTTAAATGGGGATCTGCGCACGACCGTGATATCACGCTCACTCACCCACGCTCTCTTGCATAGTCTCCTACCAGCAATATCCAGACACCTGGCCTGAGTTCGCACCACGTGACAAGATGGCCGATTGGCAAGAACAATATGTCAAAACGCAGGATCTGGTCGTCTGGACGCGCTCCACCATCCTCCCTGGTGCGCACTACGATACTATTCGAAAGCGGTGGACCCTTGTCGTCGATCATGCTGGCACGCGTGTTGAGCTGCATCCCGCGCATGTCGTCAGCGCTGTTGGGAGCATGGGCCCGCCCCGCATGCCGCATGTACCCGAGCGTGCATGTTTTGATGGTGTTGTGATACATTCTGGAGCTTACCCTGGTGGTGCGCCTTACGTGGGCAAGCACGTCGTTGTTGTCGGTGCGTGCCAGTCAGCCGCAGACATTTGCCAGGATCTCGCGTTCCGCGGTGCTGCGTCGGTGACAATGGTGCAGCGCTCGTCAACTTGTGTCGTAGATATCAGCACGGGAGCAGGCGGCGAGCATGTGCTCTTCCCAGACGATGTGCCGATCGACGTATGTGACCTGAAATTTCAGTCACTGCCTATCAACCTGAACCGGCGGCTCACCTTGGAGGAGGCAGACTTGGAGTGGGAGAGAGAGAAGGAGCTCCACGCAAAGTTGAGGAGGGGCGGGCTTAAACTGAATATGGGCAAGGACGGATCTGGACATGTCTTCCTGATTTACGAACGACTCGGCGGTAAGTACCTGATACATGCTGCATGACGGAACAATGGTTGACGCTCCTTACAGGGTATTGTGAGTATCCCTCACTAATGATGATTTTATATTAACCTGTTCTGCAGGGTGGGACTTCGGCCTTGCGGATTACATTGCCTCTGGACGCGTCAAGGTCAAACAGGGTGTAGAAGTGAAGCAATTCACAGCCGACGGCGTGATGTTCAATGACTCCTCCTCGCTCCCTGCCGATGTCGTTATTTTCGCGTAAGTTCACAAGATATACAGAAATTTATTCGGGTCTCACTCAGTCCACATCGAAACAGAACGGGTTGGCTAGGCAACCGCGAGAGTTTGAAGGAAATATTCGGCACTGAGATCGTCGATAGCACGGGAGTTCCTTGGGGCCTCGACGATGAAGGAGAAATTTCGAATACTTACCGTCCGACAGGGCATCCAGGTGTACGTATGCGTATTCTTAGACTAATGGGCAGCTGGAATTGATTACGTGCATCCTGCAGCTTTGGTATGCTGTCGGGGACTTTGGAACAGCGCGGTTCCTGTCAAAACTATTGGTATGTCCTTTTTTTTAATTTCAAGAGAAGTATGGACTTAAGTATCGGCTATACAGGCTCTTCAGATCAAGGCGACGCAGATTGGGATCCTGAGGACAGCGGAACGCACGTTGTGAGCGGAATGTGACCGAATAATATAACCGACGTTAGATTATCTGCGAATGTGCATTGTGCGATTACGGTGCGCCTTGTGACATCACTGGCCTTAGCCTGTCACGCAAGAGGATTCACAGGCAGTGAGGGGAAATACCACGTCGTAAGTACTAGTACTAGTGACTCGGACGATGAACGGAGCAGGCAGACTACCCAGGCACGGAATGCAACGGTCACGTGCTTCATAACTCGTGCCTTCCCATCTGGGTAGACTCGTGTCCAGTCACTTATACTACGCACTGCGCGTGTGCAATGCATAATCCGAAAGATTAAACACAGGAGGAAGCCCGGGCAAGGTAGCGGTAGCGCTCGTGGCAGTGATGCGGGGCGAGTCCTCATCTATATCTGAACTCCATTCTCTCACAGCGAATCGTGCGGGAACCACATGTTCCAGTACTCTACCCTGATCCGGATGCATTTCGCCCGGAACGCTGGGAAGGAGTGGACACGGACGCAATGAGCGGCTTCTATGTAAGTATGTGCTCGGTTTCGGGAGACGGTAAGCTGTTTGCCTGGTACATCGTAAGGTTAATAGTAGCGACTGCACGCGTTTCAGAATTTGTCTTGGCCGCCACTTTGCAGATGCAAGTGTCTGGTATGTGGCTTCACATCGTGGGGACAATGAACATACGACGTGCGCGCCCCCTGATGACAGAAGAATCGTTCCTCTGCCCACATTCAAAAGCCGAATGCCATGCATGACGCTGGCAAGTGACAGCAATGGTACTGGCCAAGGCTACAGCCGATTGAATGTGACATAACCTCGTTCATGGCAAGTTATGGAATTGAGGAAAGCAGATATGATTATGTAATTGAAATTTGACGCTGCCTGGATGGCAGCCGTGTCATTCAGCAGTCATCAAGTACAGAGAGAGAAAGGAAGTGCAATGTAAGCAGACAGCAGACAATATACAGAGTCGATTCTGCGAGTAATTCTCGGTTTTCAGATGCCTTTGTATAGATTCATCGTCGGCACCATGCTACAATCGAGCTTGGATGCCTGCGGGAGCGGACATTCCAACCTGTATGGCTTTGATCTGAAGGGCCTATAACACTTATTTTAGCCCACGATATCAAGGAAAAATAGTGGGGTCGGCGACGTACCAACAGCTTCGAGTAAAAGCGTGAGGTCGCGAGGTCACCCAGGGCATACCAAAGCTGCACGATGAAGTAAAGTTATCTGTCAAGTCTGTGCAGAGCGCAGATAACAACTGTACGTACTCCCGGATGGCCCGTTGGGCGACAGCAGCCCGAAATCTCGTCCTCGTCGTCGAGTCCCCAAGGCGTCTTGGTCTTGTCGAGCACGTTGGCACCAAAGACATCCTTCAAGCCCTCGCGCGGATCCTGCCAACCCGTACTAGTGCACATATGGTGAGCGTGCAAGAGATGCCGAAAGATGGACGGTCCACGACGTACGCAAGTATCACGGCGTCCGCACGAAGGAAGGTGTTGTCGGTACACATTACACCATCTGGCACGTATTGCTTGATTTCAACGCCTTGCTTGACCTTGACGCGGCCAGAGCCAATATAATCAGAGAGACCGAGGTCCCACCCTAAAGTATGCGTAGATTAGGAGTGATTTCATGGTGGTCGTATACTTACAATATCCTGGAGATTAAGTCAGGCGAGTCGGATGTTAAAATGCAGGCAAGCCGCATACCTCCGAGCCGTTCGTAGATGAGGAACACATGTCCTGAGCCATTCCTACCCATGTTCAACTTGAGCCCTCCCTTCCGGAGCTTTGCGTGCAGCTCCCGTTCCCTCTCCCAATTCAGATCCGCGTCCTCCTCGGAGAGACGCCGACGCAGACCCATGGGAAGTGAATGGAACTTGAGATCGCACAGGTCGGTCGGCACGCCGTCAGGGAAGCACGCTCGCTCATCGTCCGCCGCCGTCTTGATGGTCACGACGCACGTGGACGACCGCTGGACCATCGTCACGGACGCGCCACGGAACGCGAGATCCTGGCAGATGTCCGAGGCAGACTGGCATGCGCCGACGACGACGACATGCTTGCCGGTATAGGCTGCCCCACCGGGGTATGCGCTGGAGTGCATGACCTCTCCTGCGAAACGGGCGCGGTCGGGAATGAGGGGCATCCGCGGCGGGCCAGTACTGCCGACGGCACAGACAACATGCGCGGGGTGCAGTTGCACAAGCGTCCCTGCACGATCGACAGTTACGGTCCAGCGACCGCTTGCGGAGTCGTATCGCGCACCGGGAAGAAGCTTCGAGCGTGTCCAGACGACAATGTCCTGTGTGTCTGCGTATTGCTCGAGCCAGGCGCCCATCTTTTCCCGGGGAGCGTACTCGGGCCACTTCTCTGGGAAGGGGTGATAGGCGACTGTGGAGCTCTCAGGTCAGAAGGCAGTATGCACCTGCTGAGTGCGAGGAAACGTACGGTGGGACCAGTTGCGAATGGAGTGCAGCGAGAGCGTCGGGTACCGCCCACGCCATTGGTCGCCGATGCGTGCATTTTTCTCGAGGACGAGCGTCGGGATATTCCACTGCTTGAGGCGCGCCGCAGCGTTCAGCCCATTCTGTCCTGCCCCCACTGATCACGTGAGGCATCAGCATGGGCTCTACTCTCCGCTTGGTGCTACGTTGCACTCACAGACGATCACGTAAGGGTCCTGCTCGATGCGCGCGCGGCGCGCCGCAAACACCTCTTCCCAGGCGAGCGTGTGCCCGCCGTACACGCCGGGTTCAGGCCCCAGCTCCTCGTGGCCCTTGAGATCGTCGACCGCGAGATATACCGCCATGGCCTTCCACTCGTTCGACGGCTGGCCCTGAAGCAGCCGCACGTAGCCCCGCCCGTAGCGGCGAGGCATCTCGAACGTAAACGACGCGCCGACGCCACCCTTGGTGCTCGGCTCGGCACACAACCCAGGCCGCGTCTCGATTTTAAAGTTGGACAGCTGTGCGCCTGCGAGCGTGGTACGTAAGTGCGCCGTCATCTTGTCGTGTCCCTCGAGCGAGTGGACGTCCCATGTGAACACGAGTAGGTCTCTGAGGAACCCATCGGGAAGGAAGGTCTGTACAATGGCGGGGACATCACCCGTGGATGCCGCAAGCGCAAACGTGCGCAGCCAGGTCTCAGCGATGCTTTGCAGAGCCATGGGAGGTTGTAGCTGTAGTGAAAGTGGGGTGAATGTCTGTTCTTAAGTACCTGGAACTTGTGGAAGACACTGGCGGATTCTTAGGGAAGAAGAACTCAAAGGTCATGGGGATAATACCCCGAGAGTTATAAAAAAACCAAGAAGTCTTGAAGAGGACCATGCGGTATGCGTGAACGTATACGCCTCCCTTCCATAACTTCGAAGTGGTACCCGCGCAGTACAGTTGCGAGCTTCGCCGCAATAATCTATAACAATCAGGAATAGGGAAAGCCATTAGATGTGCATATTGACTTCCAAAGACCTACCAGCGTTCAAATGTGCCTTTGCTTGCATCCTTTCGGGTGGAAGACCTCGCGGCTTCGTGTCATGGGTCAAGAAGAAGCAGAAGAGAGACATCACAGGATATAATAGACTACCGAGCCATTCTCCCGGAGCTCCATGCTATGACAGAGGAGCGGAACAGAACAAACATCGTACCTGGTGCTCTCTATACTTCGACGTACATGTGTGGCAGATCGAAGCATCTGCCCGAGATGTCCAGGCCGAATTGCTTCGCTCCGTCGCATGTGACCATTTGAGACTGACACAGCTGGGGAATGACTAATGTCGCGCAAGTACAGTCTTCACTTCGTTCCGACCCCTACGAACGAGGGAATAGTGAATGGCGCGGGTTATGAACAAACGCAAGCAGGAAAGATGGGGAGAAACCTTGACTGGTAAGGCAGGCCCGAACACACGAATGGCAGTGTTATTACCAGGCTTTGCAAATGCTCATACACATAAGCGACACGGTGCTGTTCGAACGATGCATCTGCATCGAACGGTACGTGTCTGTACGTATTCCCAGTGAAGCATATACTACATTTAGTCAGCACCGGAGAAGCACCTTGTGCCTATTTTTAGGTACCAAAGCCGCTCACTGGCGGCGTGAAGCGATTTAAGAATATGCTGTCATTGTAACAAAAACCAAAAGATGAGATTCGAAGGTTCTGCCGTCCGTCACGATCGCAGAGGAACGTGCGACTGCCGAGTAGAACAGCCAATATTTGATTTCACCTAGAAAACGACTTTCAGAACCACGTCCCTGACGTCCAGATCGGTGCATAGGTAAGTGTCATGTACAAATGACATAAATAAAGTTGTTTACCGATTTGAGAGTTGCCTATTGGAGCTCGATTTCAGAGACGGGAATATACGTACGCAAGCTTAGTGACACAAGCAATTACATACTTACGTTGAAGCATACACTACTAATTTGAGGTACGTGAGAGTATCTCCCTGCTAAAAGGTATTGAACAGCTCACCAGATGATTCCTGAGGACCGATGACATGCGCAAGGAGCCATCTACATGGTGTCGAGTTACAGCTAAGCAGCCCACTCTATCAGTAAGTGAGACGCATATCAGAAGGATAGAGTGAGAAGATTGCTAAGGTGCAATGAGACCAGGGACCGAGAGACGGTTACGGTCGACCATGACAAGCAGACATGTACAGCCGCCTCGTCTTAGCGCGCATGCACGAGCGCCTAGAACAACCTCGTCCGTCAACTCGATGTTCCACTAGACAAAGGAGGAGCGAGATGGCACCAGGAACGTACTGCTGGATGTCACCCCTGTGCATCACCTACTTTTGAAAGTCGTGTATAGCTACGGACTCATTCAATGGGACATTTCGGACTTTGACACTGAGCGCCAGTAATCCCTTACCTAAGCGGCCGTTGGCATAGACGCGACTCTACTCGAGCGCTGAGGTGAGTCTCGTACACATTTTTACTGTACACACCTTCACTAACGTCCGGTAGTCCGTCCTTTTGGTCGTACCTTACATATTCGAATTATATAGCTCTGCCTGTATGCGCCTGTCCTTCGCACGCACATGCTCACTCCGGAACAGACACAGGTCGTTGCTGCCTGCAATGAAGTCATTCATGCACCACGAGCTACAGGAACCTGCCATCATGCATTCTGCAATATGCCAGGTTGGTTGCACGAAGATCGTCCAATTTCCTTGGGATTCCGTGTCAACATGCTGTACAAGCAATCCGCCGTACGACACAGGGTCTCGCACCGCGAGGGTGATGCGCCCTACTGCCTGCTGAGTGTGGTATATAATAGAATACAACCTTGGTGGCCCACGAAGCTGTCACGAGAGACTGAATATCCTGCGCTTGCTTCGCTTAGCATTCTGGTCCGCGTATCCGTTTTCTTAGGAGGTGAGTCACGGTGCATCCCGACACTCGGCATTTACTCGATTGTGAAGTCAGTGTGGTGCAGGTCTGCACTTGGCTCCGTTAGTATATTGCTAATTTTGTCCGGGGCGTGCCAACCTCCATGAGCGAGACATGCAGACGATGTACATGCCCGCGCTCGGCATCTCTGTATTGGCGCAACAGCATCACGTATGCAGATCAGTCTGAAGCACCCAGCGAACAGGTGCTCGCCAGAGACGTCGGAATTTGCCAAGGGAGAGAATTCGCTGATGCATCCGGCGCTTGGATCTGCACTACGACGGCTCATGTATGACTCTCTTTACAGCCGGCCTAGGGCTCTCTAGGCCTTTCAAACGACGTTCATACAATACTTATACACGTTATGCGTATACAATGTTGACTCTGCTGCGCCCTCTAGAACAACGCGTCTGCAACCTTAGCCAAGATCGTCGTAGGAATCACCTCCGGCGTTTCCGTCTCCTCTAACGAGGGAATAGCCTGGGTAAGAGACTCAGCCGACACGTACGATGATGCCGTCACCGCACGGACATACCGTCACAAAATCCATTTCGTTCACCTTCCAGGACTTTGTCCGTTTCACGACCTTCCAGAACACATACAAGCCCAGGAATATCGGGATGTTGACATCTGGTGAGCGTCAGCCAGCAGTCGCGATTCGCAGTTGCGTGAGCGCACGCACAGTCGGTGAAGAAGCCCGAAGCGGTAAAGTCCCAGAAGACCCTGAGTCCGGTAATGAGGATGAACAGCGCGAGCCACAGCAGGGCCCACCACGCCAGGAATGGCTGTAGGGGGCTCCAGTAGGCGAACGTGGTCCGGTCAAAGCCTTGCGCCTTTAAGCCCTTGTCTGTGGATGCCGCAGCGCCAGCATGAGTCCGCATACACGTGGAGAGAGCACAATGCACGCACAGAATCGTAAATACGTAACGCACATCGCGCCCCAGCTGAAAAAGCTCCCCGTGGTCGACAGATTGACGAGCCACCTATCCGCGCGGCGTAGGCGTGAGCGAGCAGGAAAGGCCGAATGCAGCCGGTACGCACGTGAATACCGTCTCTGCGCCCGAGGAGATGTTCATGAATGAGAGCCACGCAAAGGACCCCGACGCGAGGATGGCGGCAAGCGGTAGTCCCTTCTTCGTGCACCACGCGAAGCACCGCGGGGCCTGGCCCCGGATGGCGAGGCCATACAGGACGCGCGACGACGCATACAGCGACGAGTTGCCCGCTGAGAACGCCGACGTGAACACGCACGCGTTGATATAATGCGGCAGCACCTTGATCCCAGCGCGCGTCATCGCGATAACGTACGGCGATTCCGCGGCGGTGCCGGTGCTCGACAGGAGGTTCGGGTCGTTGGACGGGACCAGCAAGCCAGTGACGAAAATCCCCAGCATCTGTTGGGATTAAAGCGATCGGTCACGCTTGCTCGGGTTCGAGCACACGACAGGATGGCAGGCTCACGTAGAAGGTCAGGATGCGCCAGAACACCCGCCGGATGGCCTTCCGAATGTTGCGGCGCGGGCTTTCTGTCTCAGAAGCGCCACTATAGTCGGGTCATCATCAAAACGCTGGCTTTGAAACGGAATGAAAACGACGCACATGGCGATGACCTCCATGCCTCCATAGGAAAAGGCCGACTGGACGATCACAGAGAGCAAGGCAATGAACTTGTCGAGGCCCGGATGTTTAGGCTCGAGACCGGAGCCGGCTATAGCGCCGGGGTTCTTCCAGTACTATGGATGGCAAGGATCAGCGCTGATCCATCTGGTAAGCGCATTACATACTCGGAATCCTATACGCTCATGATCAGGCCCACCGCCCAAATCAATGATCAACCCGGCGATGATGAGGAGGGTGATTAAGGTGACTGCGCGATCGATCACATTGTCAATGTGACCAACTGGGGATAAAGCATGAAGGCGACCAACTCTTGATCAGGCAGAAGACGAATTCTGCTTCGCCGAACCACCTCACACCGAAAATGTTGATGGCGCACACGGCGACGACGACGGCAGCAGTATATGCTGCTTGATGATTGATCTAGTTCAGAACGAATAGGTAAACATACAATCGGGTGGCCTCATTGGACACACATTTGCATCCCAGTAGGTGAGTAGTATACATGCGGCGGTGATCTCGACAGGAATCGAGATTGCACTGGTGTAGAAGTAGTTCCACCTGCAAGTTCAATGACAGAGGAAAGCTCCCGTCTCTAGAAGATAATTTGGAAGATAAATGCAACACACCCCAACGCAAATCCGAACGCAGGGTCGACCCAGCGAGCGGCATAATGCGGAAACGAACCAGAAATGGGGGCAAATGACGCCATCTCGGCAAGGCTGCAAATGGTCCCGTATGCGATGGTTCCGACAAGGCCGTACGCGATGAGTGCACCGAGGGGACCCGCTCCCTGTATTACGTGTCCGGACCCTAGAAAGAGGCCTGTGCCCATCGTGCCTGCGAACTAACGGGCGATGAACACAAGGTCGGACGATCTCAGTATTTGACGGCAGATCGGGAATAGACGCGAATAGCTCACCGCAATCATCTGTACATGGCGCTGCTTGAGCCGCCGCTGGACCTTGTCGAGGTCGGCAGCGTCAAAATGGTAGCGCGGATCGGTTTGCACGACATATTCCCGCACGTTAGCCTTCTCGGCGGCGCTGCCATCGCCCGACTTTTCGTCGATGGACTTTTGTACTGACTCTGCATCGAGATCGTTGCGCGCCATTGTGCAAACCGGGAGGTCGTGGAGGCAGGAGGGCAGAGGGGCGACAATGTCTGTTCAAATATCCATGACCCACTCCTTGATGCTAAGTGGTCGTGCCGAGGTGATAAGGATTGAGGTCTGCGAAGATAAGAGTAAACTCTCGCCCGTGTCAACTCAAGGTTACTTCTCACCTACAAGACCCTTGCTGAATTTCCACAATCAAAGCGCCCTGAGGAGATAGCAAGCCGTGAGGTCAAAATATCATTTGCGAACACGGAGATGAGCATAAATCGTTGCCTACATGTGCGAATAGGGTACACCTTCAACTCAATCTAAAGAAGGAAGTCTCCCAGGTGGGCTTCCCCGCACCGTCGAAGCAAACCTTGTGGTCGCCCAATCCACACCGAAACACCGAAGAGTAAACCATCGCCTTCTGCCGATCATCTGCACAAATTGGGGAAATGAATGACTTGCACTGTACTTGCCAGTGCACGCGATGGCAGACGAGAATTCAAACTCAAAATAAATTCTGTTCCAAAGTTTGGCGTCAATCCGGGACTTGTCAGACCAGCTTGGCGTGGGTGTAGATCGGCCCGCAAGCGGTATCAGCGTACCGATAGCCATGGCTATTTCGCTGTGGGTTCTAGCTGAGGGCCGCCACGCGTCTGTGCTTCTATCTGGTACTTTGCACCACGTATCTCGCTCCGAGAGAGCAGCGCCGCGTCATAGCGGGACGGGATAGACCTGGATGTACGGATCAGATCACGCGATCGGCTCTCCGGAAGCGAACGGACCATTCTGATGTGTATTGCCACGCACGGCCCACCGGGCTTGTGTACGTCCGCGAGCTTTGTTCGGCTTGTACAGTATCAAGGTCGTGGAACAATGAGGCCGGCTCAGTCGCCACATCTCGTCGATAGATCCCAAACGACCCGACGCGCTTCTGTAGCACGCGGGACATCACTGAAGATCTCCGAAGAGGCACGGATTGCGCTGTTTGAAGGTGAGCCTTGCAAGCACATATTTGCGACTTCTGATCGGTCTGATCCTTGCAACTAGGGTTCGTCGGCATCTGAGACCTGAGCATTGACATCGTAGATGTCCGTTGGCCCTCATGAAATGAGTCGCTGGGTTACACATGTTCGATCTCATCCAAGAATGAGGAGAGCTTTCGGCGACGGGCATAGTTAGTTAAGGATCAAATTTCGATCGCCTTCAATACTTGAGGTGAAGCATGAATACCAGACGCACATCAAACGCTTCTAATATGATATATTCTCCCCCAGGAGTGTCATTGTACGAACTCGATCATGCTTGACTACTCTTACCCTTCACTCATGCTTCCAAGGATGTCTTTGAACCCTTAGGGTGCATGTATCAAATTCAGATGATGGGTATCTGACATGGTTGGAACATTAGATTGACGGCAAACCGAGGTGACCTTGAAACTTCTTCATAGCAATTTCTACTATCTGCCTTGATCTCACACGCGCTCCCATCGCGGGCAGCAGGATACCTCGGTTCGTCGCTACCGAGTAGGCCCCTTCTCCCCTCCCGCTTTCCTATGCTCGCGGGACATAATCTTTCGCCTCCAGCACTCGTCTATGATCCTGTTCATAATCTTTCCATTCATTCTTCAGCGCGCTGAATGAGAATGTATTTTGCATTTCGTCTTCTCCTGTATGCGCTGCTTCGTCTCCTTCTGTCCCGATGCAACCTCGCCGCCCAAATCAATCGTACCATCGATGATTACCACGGAGACTCAGCGACGGGCGTTGTACCTGTTTACGGTAATGAATGGAACTACGGTCCGGCCTGCCCAGCTTGTGCGATTCAGCTAGATCCACACTACGTCTTCGACCAATCGTGGCACGAGGCTACCGTACATCCAGGCAACCCAGAACCGCACAACGTCACTCTCACATTTACCGGTCAGTGCTTAGTTTTTGTCACCGCAGATCTCGAAGATCAATAATAGCATGAAGGCACCGCAATCTGGATCTTTTGCGCCGTGCCAGGATATAACAAGGGGACCACTACTTCCGTCAACATCATATTTGTGCTGGACGACCAAGTGTATGGGATATTTACAAGTCCAGGGACGAGCCCTGGTGTGTTGTACAATGTCACGGTATACAGCAAGACCGGACTACCGAACACCCAACATACGCTTGTTATTATCCCTCAATACGACGTGAGCGCGAGCTATATAGCATTTGACTGGGCAATGTACACGTGAGGCTTACCTAGAATAAGGCCTTAATTCATTGCTCATATTTCCATAGGTACGAGGATGACGATACAACTTCTCCCCTTACAACGTCTCCCACTACAACTGAAAGTCAAAACCCGACCAGTTCGCCCTCGAGACCTACTAGTATTGTGTCCACAGGCATAAATAGGAGCTCCATGGTGACTTCTATCTCTAGCGGCCGCGCAGATTCTACTCCGATCTCGGGTGATAGCAGGAACGCAGCTTCAAAGCCTGCACACGGCCCTACCATCACTCCTAGTGGCTCTTTTTCTTCCTTGCCGTCCACGGGGGCCATCATAGGTGCTACCGTTGGTGTTCTTCCAATAATCATTGCTGTCGTGGTGTTCAACTTCTGCCGCCACCGCCGGCTTTGTCGTCGACCTCTCCGGCAAGCCCTGCCGAGATGCGTACAGGAGCTCGCCCCAGCCATGCTCTCTGCCCCGTCGTCCTCCAACGCATCACTAACGAGGACTTCCATAGCCGTAGAGCCCAGCGTGGATCTCAATGACACCGTCGCACAATCACCTCGACAAAGCGGCACAAGCGGTGCAACCGTTCGCGACGACACGTGCACCGGTATCACAAGGACTACGCTGATGCAAGAAGAGCTGACTAGCCATCAAAGGCCGGCTTCTCCGGAACGCACCGCAGCTGTGGCGAGAGCCGACGTGTTCTCAGAAGCCATTGCGCCTCAGGAAGCGGCAGTGTTGAGGAGGCAGATGGAGCTCATACATGTGGAATTAGGGAGAATCCGGCTAGAGGCAGCAGCAGCGAACGTAGAGCCACCCCCAGCATACGAACCAAGGTAGGAATTGATGTTGTAGCGACGTTTAGTACCACTCCAATTACATAAACAGAACCCATGTTGTGCAACCGGAGTCGCTATCAACACTAACAGAACTTGTTTCTACGGCATAGGTAGTAGCACCATTATACCCGAACTTAGAAGATCACTGACTCGATGAATACCGGATTAGGCTGGCCCTGGCATGATCTCGATTCACAAGAGCAGCTCATTACCTATTTTGCTAATCCAAGCGATTCCGCTGCACTGACGTGGTGCATGAAAGGATTGGGAAAGCTTGTGCCTTCCGCACATGCTTTGCAACAAATATCTATCGATGCGAGAGGGGACCCAAAGAGGAATTCCACAGCACTGCCATATTCTTGGTAAGCATCTGCCATGGTCATCGAAATGGTTTGATCAAGCTGTACAGCCAACATATGACCCACGCATAGCCTCTGCGGTTTTGACTCAACCAAATGATCCCGCTGTGTCCTCGGCCAAGTGGACAGGTCAAGTCAGCCAACTTTGGCAACTCCGGTCCACCTTACTCAACACAGATAGCTCATTAATACATCAGGTCCGGCGAGGATGGAACATTCTGGTCAAAGCAGCTGCCAAACCTCAACAAGCACGGTCGATATCCTTCCTCGCCGTACTTGGTTCCGGAAAACATTCCATGTCTTTTCCACAATCAATCATAATTGACATGTCAGTCCTCGACGCGAGCGGTATTGAGATCCGGAAGCTCCGCCCATATATCAAGGCATATTCTTCACATGCCGCTAAAATGGCAGTCAGGGATAGAGCCACGACGCATTCCTCATAGATAGACTTCTTCCCTCATTTTTCACGGACGCAATCCTTTCAGCCTCTTTCTATTTGGTATGAACTACACAGGGATGGGTCTTGTCTCCCGCCTCATCCCAGCCATTGTCCTTCTCTTCCTGCCCCGAGCCCTTGCCTCCCAAACCATCCGGACCATCGACGACTACAACGGGGATTCAGTGACGGGTGTTAAACCCATCTTCGATGGGTCATGGAACTACGGCCCCACCTGCCCAGGATGTAAGGTCCAGCCAGATCCCCAATACGTCTTTGACAAATCGTGGCACGACGCCACGACTTGGCCAAACGATACAAGCTCTCGTACGGTCACCCTCACCTTTACAGGTTGGTAGATGGTCGCGTTCCTTTAGAGATTTACCACTGATTTGGACTCGAAGGCACTGCGATCTGGGTGTTTTGCGTCGTTCCAGGGTATATGAAGTACGGGGTCACCACTTTCGCCAATATCAGCTTCGCATTGGACGGCGAAGTAGACGGAAGGTTTACAAATCCAGGGACGGGCTCTGAAATGATGTACAACGTGACGGTATACAATAAGACCAGACTCGCGAATACTCAACATACCCTAGTTGTGACACCCCATCACGAGCCGAATGCGAGCTATATAGCGTTTGACTACGCAATGTACTTGTAAGTTTTGACTGCACAAATCAGACGCTCCTTCTCATACTTAGATAGGTATGAGGATGACGAGACGTCCACTGAACTCATCACCCCCACGAGCGAGAGCCCTACTAGCAGCGTAAACCCTTCGGTAATCCGAAGCCACTCCAGTGGGCACCCTACCAGTCGCGTAGACTTCACGGCCACGTTAAGCAACGAGTCCAGCACCACGGTCACAAGGACTTCGTCGGGCGAATACTACCCTTCATCCGCTACTGCGGATCCCGGCCACGTCTCTGCTGTTTCCCAAACATCGTCGCCCGGTTCGAAGACGTATACCGAAGCTATCTTGGGCGGTGTTGCCGGTGGGATTACCGTCGCCGTCGCAGTTGCCGTTCTATACTTCTGCTACTGGTACCGTCGTCGTTCCCAGTCGGCATGGCACAACCGCATGAAGAAGTTCTACCCTCCAGGTTCGGCCGCTTGCAGTCCGTGCCAAGACTCTTGGCGTCAGGGACCATTCACCAATGGGAAGCCAAATCCACTTCGCTTTGCTCCATCGTTCTCGCGAACGCCGCAAGTGCGGACCTCTGCAATCGTTGGAATCGCTGCGGACGTTGACTACTCCCGCGGACAGCCTTCTCGACACATAGAGCCCGTTCCTTCCGTCTACCATGACGCGCGGACCGGCAGAACGGAGAAGGTCCTGATGCAAGAAGAGCTCAGCCGCCTTGAGCAAGAGATGGCGGATCTGCTCCTCCAGCAGGCTTCAAGTCCCGCGTATGAAAGCGTGATGACAATGCGTGCAGAGTCGTCTCTAGACGGTGCTGTAACCCAGGAAGCCGTGGGTGATGGGGATGCCACGTTGAATGTCACTGCGGAAGGAATTTGGGAGAATGAAAGCATACGTAGCAGCGGCAAATACAATGGCGCCACTAGCGTATGAACACCAATAACACTGTACATGATTGGACTAGACCACATACCGTTGGAAAGTTGGGTACAGGTTAGAAACGGGGTAGTCGGTGTTGTAGTCGTGATAACAATATGATCTACTATCGAGAAACCGAGAACTTACTAGCACTGACGCGGACGGTGGGAGGTGTGGATCGTGAGACTCATGATCGCCCTTGGCGAGTCGGAGCAAGCTGGTACTGCACCGTCCGTCTCCCACTTGAATAGAAACTAAGACAGCGACGGCATTCAGCGTCACACTTAGGGGACTTAATCAGCCCGGCACGACTCGATGAACGGACTGGTCACAACTGGATATCCATCATTGCTCGTTCGCGATATTCTGACGCTCCACGAGGGTTGTTGCACCGGGGCCCCATGTGTCTAGATTACGCTGCTGTCCACCCTGGCCCGACGGCTAGGGTACGCAATCTTCAGGTCTGTGACCAGATTCACAAGGCGGAGTACATTCTATACATAGTTATCGGCCCAAGGCTAGGTGCAGTTGGGATCTCGGCTATTTCCGTTAGATCATTCTGTGTACGTGTTACATTCGCTGGTCAACGCCCTGTGAACCAGACGTGGAGAGCGGCGTGATGCCCTAATATCGTAAGCTTCACATTCTGCATCATCATGTGGTTTCATTCTGAAATATGCCATGAATGCATGTTCCCAGGGATGCTACCGAGGCTTGCAGGGCAGCAGGAGCTGTGTTCGCCGTTCGATTTCGTTCAGCGATACATACTCAACCAGCTATTATATTCTTTAACGCTGACTCGCCTTGTGAACTTGAGATGACATCGTGTAGGTCGCCGCATCTTGAGTCCTTCAGCGATATGGGCGACCTGTGCCGTGTGAGCTCGCATGGAAGCTGGCGTCGGGGAAGCTTAGAAGGCTTGTTGAGGCAATAGCGTATACGCCATATCTCCTGACCTTCATTCAAAAGCAGGCACGCATCTCTCCTCTGGTCTCGGCCCGATGGGCCACGGGCGGGCCTGGGGTTTGAGATATAAGCCACGGTTACTTGAGGTGCGTCTGCAGACACTATGGATCCGAAGACCATCGCCGAGAACTGGTTGCACACGTTCGGGCTTGCCGCGTACAAAGGCGACGTCGCTGCGGTAGTGGAGACGTTTGCGCAAGACGGCTTTCTGCGCGACCTGCTCGTGTTCACATGGGACCTCCGCACCCTCGCGGGTCACGACAAGATCACGGCACACCTTGGGCCCACACTCGCCCCCGCACATTTGTCTCACTTCGCTCTCGACATCTCGCCTGCGCTCGCGCCGGAATTCATCACTGACGGACCGTTTGCAGGCGGCGTCGGTGCGGGGTTTGTGTTCGACATGCCGCGCCGGCGAGGACAGGGCTATGTGCGGCTATTGCGGGACGCAAACGGGGAGGCGTGGCGGGCCGTCGCGGCCTGCGTACTGGTAGCGGGGCTGAAGGGACACGAGGAGCGCGGTCCGGAGCCAGGTGTATATGGTGGGCACACGCTTGCGTGGACGGAGGTGTATGCAGAGCGGCGCGCGCGCGCCGAGGAGGCGCCGTACGTGCTCGTATGTAAGTCGCTGCTTTGTATTTCGGTATCCCGCCGAGGTGGAAGTCCGCTGACGCGCGGACAGTGGGGGCAGGACAGTCAGGACTCAATGCCGCTGCGCGTCTGGAGCAACTGAGCGTGCCGACACTTGTTGTGGAGAAGGCTGCACGCGTGGGCGACCAGTGGCGAGCGCGGTATCCAACGTTGTCTCTGCATTCGATCAGAAACTTCTCGCATTGTGAGCACACAACCCTTGTTAGTGCAAGTGCCGCAGCGACTGACCACGGCGTAGTGGCGTACCAGGCGTTTCCGAGCACATGGCCTGAGTTCGCGCCGCGCGACAAGATGGCGGACTGGCTTGAGCAGTATACCATCACGCAGGACCTGTTCGTGTGGACGAGCTCGCACATCATGCCCGGTGCGCAGTACGACTCCGCCAGCCAGCGGTGGTCGGTCACCGTGAATCGGAATGGCACACATGTCACGCTGCAGCCTGCACACATCGTCTGCGCTATCGGCAGCACGGGGCCGCCGCACATCTCTGAAGTCGCGGACCAGGATGTGTTCCGTGGGACGGTGATGCACTCTGGTGCGTACGCGGGCGGGCAGCCGTTCGTGGGGCAGCACGCGGTGGTCGTCGGCGCATGCCAGTCGTCGGCGGATATCTGCCAGGACCTCGCGTTCCGGGGCGCAGCGTCAGTGACGATGGTGCAGCGCTCGTCGACGTGCGTTGTGGGCATTAAAACGCCGACGGACGAGGAGCGCGCATGGTACCCTGTGGGCGTGCCGACGGAGGCGGCGGACATGAAGAACTTCTCCGTGCCGCTAAAACTGACGAGACGGGAGGCACTCAAGGCGAATGCCGCAAAGTGGGAGAGGGAGCGCGCGGTGCATGCGAAGCTGAAGAACAGCGGGCTGAAGCTGAATATGGGACGGGACGGGACTGGGCCGCTGTTCTTGGCATACGAACGACTTGGAGGTACGTGTTGATGGACTGACCTGTGTGCTGACCTGTGTACAAGAGAGCTCACGGGATTTGCTCACAGGATATTGTGAGTGCTCTCATTGCCGTTAAGAAGGATGAGTCCACAATTCTCGGCAGGGTGGGACGTAGGCCTCGCTGACTATATCGAATCCGGAAGAGTGGAGGTCAAGCAAGGCGTTGAGCCGAAGCGATTCACGGCTGACGGAGTGACGTTCACTGACGACTCGACGTTGAAAGCGGACCTGGTTCTGTTCGCGTAAGTCTGTCTCTAACGAGCGCCTTCATGTCAAAATCACGCTGTTTCACCAAAGGACTGGTTGGTGTGATGTGCGCGAAAGCCTCAAGGAGATCTTTGGCAATGAGGTAATTGGAACAGCAGGGCCCGCATGGGGTCTCGATGACGAGGATGAGATCCGCGGCTGCTTCCGTCCCACATGATACCCGGGTGTAAGTACTACTATCGTCCTATGTGACCCTGATGTGATGAATGTCCGCAGTTCTGGTATTGTATGGGCGATCTGGCGACTGTCCGATTTGGTTCACGACAACTGGTGTGTTAACGTGCTGTCATAACATGATGATGAGAGCTGAGCGGTGACCTCCAGGCTTTACTCATAAAGGCAGCGCAGATCGGCATGGTGGGGCATTCCCCAAGTTCGGTTTGATTGACCCATATTCATGAACGCAAGACATCACACAATAAGCCTTTCATAGTAGACGTCACGAACTACTACATCAGTGTACATACGTCTGCACGTTCTCAGGATTGCAAGGAGGTTTATGGTCACGATAATTTGTGCGAAATCCTCAAACTGGGTCACATCCTTCTCGCGCCCGTTAAGAATGCGAACTTCTGCCATTGTTAGAACCGCTGTGGGCGTTGACCACTACCGTGAACGGGCTTCTCGACACATCGAGTCCGTTCCCTCCGTCTACCATGACGCGCGAACCGACATCGCGGAGAGAGCGCTGATGCATGAAGAGCTCAACCGCCTTGAGAAAGAAGTGGCGGATTTGCTCCACCAGCAGGCTTCCGCGTATCAAAGCGTGATGACAATGCGTGCAGAGTTGTCTCTAGACGATGCTGTGACTCAGGAAGCTGTGGGTGATGGGTATGCCACGTCGTATGTCACTGCGGAAGGAATTTGGGAGAATGAAGGTATGAGAAGCAGCCGCTAATGCAATGACACCACTAGCGTATAAATTCTAATGACATTGTACGTGATTGGAATAGACCGCATACCGTTGGTAGCGTGCAGATCTGAAGTGAGGTAGTCCGTAATGAGATCGTGATAACTATAATCGGAAAACTAGCGAACCTTCTAGTACTGACGGTGGGAGGCGTGGATTGTGGTGTTCATGATCGCCTCTAAGAAGTCTTGCTCGCGTTGTCCGTGATGCCCAAGCTGGTACTAAGTACACCGTCCATCTCCCGCTTGTAGAAGACGGCACGGCTCCGCACGCCAAGATCCGAATGCCTCCCGATGAGCAGCAGACAATCACAGAACTTGCAGCTACGACATTGTTTAAGATTGTCTGGATATCAAAAGCCATTGTCTTGCAGAGAATTATGGAGGTAGGTGGGTCATGCGATAGCACCAGTGGTAAACAATCTCAAAATCTGTCGTCCATGGGTATTTCTGTAAAGAAGCTGTGCTCTGGAGACCCCTATAAACCCCAATATCACCCTGTTTTTTGGTATCAACAAAGTTCTTTTTGGCCTGTGCATGGTGAGCGAATGGATGCCTAATGGAACCAACATGCCATGTATTTGCACCAACCCCACTGTGAATCGACGGCAGCTAGTCAGAAAGCAGAAAGCGAATAAGGAAATCCAGTGGAGATTCAATCTCAGCATGGAGATGGAGGACCAGATGGCACGGTAAAAGTACCATGATACATGGAGTACAATCTACAGTCGATTGCAGCAGCAGACGGGGCCCAAATAATGTCCAGAAGCACACATCCATCGAGTATGAATATGACTGAGAGTCCATGCCACCGACCGCAATTCTAGGCGTACGGGAAAACACGCAGAATCGCGCGGGCAAAAGAAGTACCAATATGCATGAAAAGACCATGATTGACAAGAGGCTGAAAATTTCAACGAGCATGTATTGAGCAATGTGGGCGGAGACAAGGGCGATGCATGCCTAATATTTCGAGCAAAGGGAAAGCTGGCATTCATGCGCATTCAGATCACGCGTAAATCACGCATGAGACAGATGAGCCAATGGCAGACCCCAAAACGACGCGCTTCATCACGTGGAACCGCGTCATCTAATGAGGGTTACCAGCTGAACTATGTAAGATTGGGATTGTCCTGGCTGTAGGTTGACCAAATGACCAGGTCATTCGAAACTCGACCCAACTACAGCAACAGCAATACAACTCTCTGCGACATGCTTCCTATGTACCGCGTCACTGGACGCCGACTCGTGATAGTAATTCTGTAGCTAAGACGGGTTAGTGTCGTAGAGAGCACTGGTTACAGAGGCGAAGAGAGTGGAAGGTGAATGTTCGTTCCGTTGGATGAACAAACTCGTCACGACTGGATATCCATCACTGCTCGCCCGCGCACCGGGGCTCAATGAGCCCAAGTTCAACGTTCGACCACGGACCACCTTGACCCAACGGCCGCGGTACTCCAGGTGGGTTACATTCTATACATAGTCATCCGCCCGTCACGATGCGATCGGTTATATCGGCAGTCTCCGTTACGCGTTAGATCATTCACTGTACGTTGAACATTCGCTGCTCAACGCCCCGTGAACTACACACGTAGACCGGTGTGTTGCTCTGGCATCGGAAGCGTCCTATTCTGCATCATCATGTGACTTCATTCTGAATTCTGCCGTAGATGCGTGTTCCCTGGCAAACCGGGGTGAGTAGTGTAATAGGAGAGCGATACGGGAATCTCAATGAGCTATCATACTTGTAAGCTCTAGATATTCTTGTTATAGCAAAGCCATTCACGATGACTCTCCCTCAAGAAATTTGCAGATGATGCATAGCAGCGCCCGGCACTCGGGGACGTGCCCTGTCTCAATATTCGTCCGTTGGTCATTGTCTACTCCGTAGCTCTCTGCTTCCGGGTGCAATGGCGGACAGCGACGAGCTTCCATGACGCGATGTCAGTAACTTCCTCAATTTGACCATTGGCCGTGAAGCCCGACTCTGACCCACTGCCGACGCCGTGACCTTCTGCCCCACTTTGCCCCGAATGTGGTCTGTGAAGGAAGGTCTATCGTTATTGGCTTTGCTGTAACGAGAGATGTCGCTGTGTAGGTCGCTATATCTTGGCTCCTTCAGCGATATGCATGACCTGTGCCGTGTGGGGCTCGCATAGAAGCAGACACCGGGGAAGCTTGTAAGGAAGTTTGCTGAGGCAACGACGCGTACGCCATGTCTTCTAAAGTATACACGCATCCCTCCTCTGCCCGCGGGGAAACGAACGCGCAGGGCTTGTGGTATATAAGCCACCGTTACTTGAGGTGCGTCTGCAGACACTATGGATCCGAAGACCGTCGCCGAGAACTGGTTGCACACGTTCGGGCTTGCCGCGTACAAAGGCGACGTCGCTGCGGTAGTGGAGACGTTTGCGCAAGACGGCTTTCTGCGCGACCTGCTCGTGTTCACATGGGACCTCCGCACCCTCGCGGGTCACGACAAGATCACGGCACACCTTAGGCCCACACTCGCCCCCGCGCACCTGTCCGACTTTGCGCTCGACCCCACGCCTGCGCTCGCGCCGGAATTCATCGCTGACGGGCCGTTCGCAGGCGGCGTTGGTGCGGGGTTTGTGTTCGACATGCCGCGCCGGCGAGGACAGGGCTATGTGCGGCTATTACGGGACGCCAACGGGGAGGCGTGGCGGGCCGTCGCGGTATGCGTACTGGTGGCAGGGCTAAAGGGATATGAGGAGCGCGGCGCGGAGTTGGGGGTGTATGGTGGGCACACGCTCGCGTGGACGGAGGTGTTTGCGGAGCGGCGCGCGCGCGTAGAGCGGGCGCCGTACGTGCTCGTGTGTGAGTCATTCTGTGTGCTCTTAGACCGCCAAGGTCAATGTGCGCTGACGCGCGGACAGTGGGCTCCGGACAGTCAGGGTTGAATGCTGCTGCGCGTCTGGAGCAGCTAAGCGTGCCGACACTCGTCATAGAAAAGACCGCACACGTTGGCGACCAGTGGCGGGCGCGGTATCCGACGCTGTCTCTGCACTCGATCAGGAACTTCTCGCACCGTGAGTACACGCATTCTCTTGTGCAGCACTGCAGGCGCCGCACTGACTGATTGTGGCATAGTGGCGTATCAGCCATTCCCGAACACATGGCCCGAGTTCGCGCCGCGCGACAAGATGGCGGACTGGCTCGAGCAGTATACCATCACGCAGGACCTGATCGTGTGGACGAGCTCGCAAATCATGCCCGGCGCGCAGTACGACTCCGCCAGCCAGCGGTGGGCGGTCACCGTGAATCGAAATGGCACGCATGTCACGCTGCAGCCCACACACATCGTCTGCGCCATCGGCAGCACGGGACCGCCACACATCCCTGAAGTCGCTGACCAGGATCTGTTCCGCGGGACGGTGATCCACTCCGGTGCGTACGCGGGCGGGCAGCCATACGTGGGGAAGCACACGGTGGTCGTGGGCGCGTGCCAGTCGTCGGCGGACATCTGTCAGGACCTCGCGTTCCGGGGCGCGGCGTCGGTGACGATGGTGCAGCGCTCGTCGACGTGCGTTGTGGACATCAAGACGCCGACGGACGAGGAGCGCGCGGGGTATCCTGTGGGCTTGCCGACGGAGGCGGCGGACATGAAGAACTTCTCCGTGCCGTTGAAACTGGCGAGGCTTGAGGCGTGCAAGGCGAGCGCCGCAAAGTGGGAACGGGAGCGCGCGTTGCATGCGAAGCTGAAGAATAGCGGGCTGAAGCTGAATATGGGACGGGACGGGTCTGGGCCGTTGTTCTTGGCATATGAACGACTTGGAGGTACGTGTGGATGGACTGACCTGTGTAAGAGTGAGCTCACGAGACTTGATCACAGGCTATTGTGAGTGTCCTCATTGCTATCAAGAGGGATGTATACACAATTCCTTGCAGGGTGGGATGTAGGCCTCGCTGATTATATCGAATCCGGAAGAGTGAAGGTCAAGCAAGGCGTCGAGCTGAAGCGATTCACGGCTGACGGAGTGACGTTCACTGACGACTCGGCGTTGAAGGCTGACCTGGTTCTATTCGCGTAAGTTTGCACCTTTTATAACGGGCGACTCTGTGCAAGGCTTTCACTGTTTCGCTACAGGACTGGTTGGCGCGATGTGCGCGAGAACCTCAAGGAGATCTTTGGCAGCGAGGTAATTGATACAGCAGGGCCCGCATGGGGTCTTGATGACGAAGATGAGATCCGCGGCTGCTTCCGTCCCACAGGGTATCCGGGCGTGAGTACTACTTTCGTCCTATGTGACCCTGATGTGACGATTGTCCGCAGTTCTGGTATTGTATGGGCGATCTGGCGACTGTTCGGTTCTATTCACGACAACTGGTGTGTTAATGTACTGTCTTCGCATGTGAATGAGATCTGAGCAGTAAATTCCAGGCTTTACTTATCAAGGCAACGCAGATCGGCATGATGGAGCATTCCCCAACTTTGATTTGACCGACCCGTATTCGTAAACGCAAGACATCACACAATTGGCCGTTCATAGTAGACGTGACGAGCTACTATATCAGTGTACATACATCTGCACGTTTTCAAGATGACGAGGAAGTTTATGGCCACGATAAACTTGCGCGAGATATGCTGAAGAAGTTCGCTACGATTCTCTAATTGGGTGAAGTGTTAGCAAGCTTGCATGCTGACCTATGTGATTTCCAATTCTCCTTCTGACACTCGCGCGAGCAATAGTTCGCCATCTTGCAACCGCTGCAGAGTAGCAACTTTGGTTTCCCCTCTCCTCCACAACCACAGCATGACTCATGAGGGTCCTTGAGCGCATCGCCGTCATATGGAACGGAGAACAAAGGGGATAATGCGATCCTAGTCGAATGCGGGAGAAATGGTGCCCAGTTCTCTATCCCTCGAACGCCCTCCGTCTCCTTGCCTCGCCCGCAGCTGCAAAGTGGGTCGGAATACCTCTCGAGCGAAAGCGGAATCTTGTTATGCGCTCTGTATTCGCATTGTTCTCCGTGGTCCCACGCGCGGCGACATCTTTCGGCGAGTGCTGGTAGCAAATACTTCCACGCGCGCAGCTCCTCCGTGTTTACGTGAGCGACGCAGATGGCTTCCACGGTGGCTAACTTGGAGAGCAGAGGGGCGACTTCAGAAAGGAGTGTGTCGGTGACCGGTAGGACGAAGCCGTCGCATAGGATAGTGTGCGATGAGAGGTCGAATCGGAGAGTGGGTATGAAGAGAACAAGATCGTACTCCTTGGTGGTTTTGTCTCGCAGGAGGAATATCCTCCCGGGAGCATTGTTGCTGTCACCGGATGCACGAGACAAGATTCCTAAAATGGTCTCTTTCAAATTGTCCATAGTGCTACGACCTTGCGCCAACTTGAATGCGAAGGGTTTGCCAACCGCATTAAACATAGTGCTTGCGTGCTGATATATCCACCGCTCGTGACGACGAGGGACATTGTGAGTCAGAGCAGGGAGGGACGGCAAGGACACTCGATGAATGTTCCAAAGGTGAAGACGCCCTTCTGCGTCAAGCACAATGGGAAACGGTCCAAACTGCACATTATGGGCGTTGAGAGGTTTAGATGGGAGCACTACGACCTGAGAAATGGTGTCAATGTCCGCGAGCGTGCGGGAAGGTAGCAGTCAACCTGACCTCAATGTAGGATGACTTCCTGGCGAGCCGGAGCCGATTGTTCGTGCTCACGATTGGGATGGGAAACACGACTTCTCGTACGAAGTCGCCCAAAGACAGTCTCATTGCGTTGGGCGAAGTGTGGGAGATGGTCGGCATATCCCCATTCTTGAAACGACAACGCGCCTTTTCGCCTTCGACCTCTACCTTCCTTGACAGGTTCAGAATAGAGTGATTACTTTTATCGAGGGTGACGGCGACATGGTGAGAGTCTTCAATTGAAGCACGCGTCGTCCAGGGACCAAAAGATGACTGAGTGGTTTGCCCGTTCCACGGAAGAATGTGAACAGCAGATGTGTCAAGCAAGGGCGCAGAAAAGACCGTGAGCATTAGTCCGAGCTTCGAAATTAGCTTGGCATTTATAGCTGTGCTCCTGAGAGAGACGCAAACTCGGACATCTCGCATCGGCTCCACTCGTAGAAGAGATGACGGAGCGATGAAAGACAGGACGAGGGGATTTGATGTGTCTGGGATTGGAGAATCTCTCACAATGGTGATTTGGGGGTCTATCGGTGACCTTCGAATAACGAGCTTGCCGAATGCGGCGTGGACCGAAGAAAAAAGGTTATGGTAATACTTTCCCCAGATGTCGCATTGAAGTATCGGAGTGCCAATGTCTGCCAGAGATGGTTCGATGGCGGCAATGCAATCTCGCGGGACGACAAGTATGATACGCACAAGCAGAGGGATGCCGCTCCATTGCGAGAAAGGGCCCGCTATCGGAGGAGTATTCTTCATGAAAGATGGCGTGTATAGTCCGTGGCGATGCAACTGACAGCAGAGCTCCTGAAGATTGTTCTTGTCTACCATCATAGACTTGTTCGTCTCCAATAATGTGACGAACTTGTCCATCACCTCCATCCAAATCGCATCTGGCGTCGCGATGCGCTGCTGGATCAACTTGAGAAGCAGTACAAAGGATTCACGGGTGTAGTGAAGAAGGTTTGAGTCGGCAGTAGCGTCATGAGGAGGCTTCTTGTTGAGCTTCCAGAAGGTGGCGCCATCTTCGCGTTCGTACATCCGCTGGTACATATTGTAAAAGAATATGGGTAACTGCGATGGATCGAAGACTGGAACCGTATTTCCACTGTCCACGGTATTGGACGAAGCATAATATGGGTATTTCCAGGTGACGGGCTGGTAGAACTGCGACCGTCCCCCACCTGCGGCACGGCGCAAAAGGATCTCAGAAGTGTTGCATCGAGATGTAAACCCCGAGACGTAACCGACAGGGTGGAGATTTAGCAGGAGGCCGAGAAGAGTACCATCTGCGTACAGACTCTCCGTGAATGCCTTCGCGGGGTCGGGCTTGTCAGAGATCAGCCGTTCGGCGATCAGCGTTTCTGTGTACAGGACTCCGTGAGCGGCAACGAGCAAGGGTATGGTGGAGACGAAAACATTGAGCAGCCCGAGATGGTCGACGAGGTTAGACGTGTCTATGACGTGAAAGGTCGACGGTGCACAACCGCCAGTATATTCGGTCTCTTCCAGGTGGATGAGCTCCGTATTCCACTGTGCGACGGGGATGTCTGTAAGTATTATTCCACTTGCTAAGAATCCGTTGAGAGCGCGGCACACAGCTATTGCCTCGCCGAGGAAGTAACGAATGACGGGAGGAGCTGTGGAGGATATTGCAGCTTGATAAGCAGAGCACCACGCAGTGAACTCGTCTTTTGCGGCCCGGACAAGACCATCGATTGAACATTCTGTGGAGACATGCGCGTTGCCGAAGATAGGGGCAAAATGGAACGGGATCAAGGGGTCGGTTCCGTAGTGGACGGCGCAGCCTTCACCTGCTAGCGAGTACACAAAGGTAGGGTTGATAAGAGTAGCAGCTGCTATGTCCGCTGAGTTTGTGTGCGTAACTCCTGTCGTCCAGAAGTGGTTGAACTGAGCAGACATGGTTTGAGCCGCCTCCAGCAAGAGCGGTGCGGCGGAGCGCGCAGAAGACAAGCTGACTTTGACGCGTGTCGGGCGGGTCATCTTTTCAGCGAAAGCTTTGCGAATACCGACAATGCGCGAGGAAGGAAGGTGATGCATGTCGCGATACAATTCCCAATGGCGTCTAACCTCCATCAGTGTGTAGCGGCTTGATATTTTGATGAATGACCCATAAACAGATGCACGCCATCTCTCAATAGAGGATGAGCGTGCGATGAGGTTTTTAAGTTGTTCGACGAGCAGTCGATGCGAGTCGTGGTCGAGGTATATATGGAAGAAAATGTTCCAAATGGCGCCCGTGCACGGACCTCTGTCCGCTACCAAGGTCAGAAGTAAGATATTCCGAGCTGTGTTTGCGTTGGCACCAACATACCCATACAGAGAGTTGAGGATTGATACAGCCAATTTTCAACCTCGGGACTCACCGATCACAGCCGGTTCGATGTCACAACAGGTGAAGTCTAAGACACGGGCACCTGAATACATCGACATTGACATCAGTGGACACAACGTCTGGAGAGTTCAAAAGTATCTCACCAGGATTCCTGTCCGTGAAAATTGTGTACAGAACGTTTCGGGGGTCACCACATCCCAGCAACAGGAGATGCGTATCTTCCGCGGGTGGTGTATCTCGCAAGAGATCAACAGCGGAAGTGTTTCCGATGGGGTAGAAGTACACTATTCCAGGCCAGTACAATGTATGTGACATGCTGGGATAGTAGAGAACTTGAGAGTACAGTGAGAGGAGGAGAAAAAAGGAAGCGTATCCCTACAGGTTTCAACCAGATGCTACTCGGCAGAATGCTGAGAATTATAATGGCAGGCAACTACAATTGAGAGCACATTTGCCATTTTCAAAGACTTCGATATGGTACCGAATATGCCACTTTCAGCCTTCAGCGTACGAACATCTGTAGGGGATGCACGGATGAGATTAATAGCTTTTGTGGCATATAACGTGGTGGGAGGGTGGTATTTGGTGCAGCGTGCTTTGAAAGATAAGGGATTTTACCTTCAAGGGCTTCTCAAAACAGTCAGTTGAGCGTACAAGAGAGTAGAGCGCCTATGTGCACCCACATACGAGAAGGGTAAGTGTCAAACCTATATTGATGCGATAGTCGCATGCATCCGTTCTGAGCCAATCGAAGCACGGCCGCATGCGTTCCGTGGCAGCACACGCACAACAGGAACCTGGGTCTTTATCGCGATGAGAGGCCAGGTAAGCGACCTAGCGCAGCCACGGGGTGCCAATAGATAGGCGTTCTCGAATATAGGTGACTGGTTCACAAATGCAGCGCACAGCTGTCGTGGTAATGTTAGCCACATCATTGGGGTAATCGATAGGAATGTAAATCAATCTCCCCTGGTGTCCGTGAGGTTAATCGAGGCTGGAGACGAGCACAGTTTGTTGCTGTAAGTTCATGAATTGCGAGAATGAGACAACGCACTCGAAGGACGTCAGCTCATAGCCACTGAGGTAGGATAAGCTAGTCGATACGTCGAGGGAGCATTGGACGTTCGATGCCGTTAGCGTTGCGCACCTGGTTCACTTCCAACAGCAAGACACCCTCTTGACTACCCCTGGCCCTACATTCAGTTATATATATATATAGTCAGAATGATTGCTGGCGTCCGCATTCACTTGGGCTGACCGAGCAGCAATACATGGAGGGGAGGATGCTAACTCCAGCAGTACCTCTCCATACAGGTCACACATACTCCAGCCCTCTCGATCTCCGCTCTGCTCCTGGCACGATCGACGAGCGCGCACGCGAGACACGCCGGCCACTCCAGGTCCTTCACCGGTGCCCCATTGACCTCCAGCGGGATGCCTTGCGTCGCGATGTCAAACGCCTGTGAGAGCATCCCGTCGATCTCGTCGGCGGCGTACACGACCTGGTCTGCGGACGTGTTTGTCAGCGGCGCCTGGCCGAGCGGCGGGCCGCCGTTGGCGAAGTAGATCAGGAATGGCGTAGACGAGTCGTTGCAGCCGAAGAACGTCGGGTGTAGCGCAAGGCCCTCCGCGAGGAATATGTCCGTGGAGGCGGGTACATGCGGGAAGGGATACGCCGAAGGGTAATACGAGCTGCGCTGTTGAGTGGCCTGCAGTTCGGTGAGCCAGGTACAGTCCACGCGTCAGGCGAACGCGGTGCAAGGAACCATGAGACGCACCACAAGAGTAGAGCCCGCAGCCCAGCCATCTGAGGTGTCCGCATCCTGACGCAACTCCGTCAGAAAGGGTTGTCTATAGAGAGGGGCACGAGCCGTTACCACGTCAATCGCGATGAGCACGTCAAGTCCCCGTGCCTTGGCAAGCAGCGGTGTGAGCGGGACGCTAAGGCCATCTTCTCCGCCGTCGACCAGCGTGAGCACTGTCGCATTGGTATCGATAAACGTCTCCTTCGCAACGCCTTGGAATGGGTTCGGGACACGTGCTGTGTCGATAAATTCTAAGAGCGTGCCGTTTTGGTCGTGTGCCTCGACAAGTGATATGAAATCCTCAATGAGGGACGAATTGCTAAACAATGACTGGGTGAATGCGCGTGAGCTGCGAGATACGATTACCAAACAACGTGAGAGCGAACCGTGAGATTGAATGTGTTGAAGATGCTTGCAGAGGTCGCCATCATGAATGAGGCTTGATCGAAACCCGTCACACAGAACAACTCGTTTGTCGAACCAAGGTATTGCATTGGAGTGAATGCCGCGAGCGTTGGGTCAAACGATCCCATTTCATCTGAAACGCGGCCCGTCGTGAACACCTCGATGTACGTGAGGCACGAATCCGCTTACAGACGTTGAACTCATAGATAGGGTTCGTGAGAGGGACGAATATGTCGATACCGTCAAAGTACGTGGACGTGTTCTCGTACGGAGATAATGTATCAGCCGTGATAATAGGGAACGGCTGCAGGAAGGACCTAAATGTGGAACTACAGGACGACGTCAGTGACGTTGCGATTGACTTGGGAATCATTTCATATCTCACACATTCGCGATGGAAGAGAACGTTATCCCAGCACCATGCTCGAGCGATGAGTCAAAGAATGCTGCGGCACTGGTGCCATTCACAAAATGTCTCGAGAGAACGCGCGCCCAGATGTCCGTGAAACTGACAGGGAAACCTGCAAGAAGCTTGCCAGACACTTCCGTCAAGAGGTCAGAGGTGTACGCAAGATCGATGAGCGTGTCATTGGTTGGTATCTCGAGACTGATGTTCGCCAGCCAACCACCAAAGTCGCCTACCCCCCTCACTTGAGGCGAGCCAAAGACAAGGTCGGGGATTGTTGGGAAGTCTGCTTGGGCGAGCGAGGTAACGAGCCATGAGCCGCCGGACAGTCCGGCAAGATACGAAGCCGCCTGAAGTACGCCGCCAGTACCGACAGCAGCTGAGGATGCGTTTCGCCCATCGAGGGCGTTGAGGATTCCCGCACCGACGATGGCAGCGCGGTAACCTCCGCCACTGGTTGCGATGCCGAGCGTCGGATAGCCTGAGGTATTCGATGCGCCGCTGAGAATATCAGAGACGTATTGGGGAAGGGACGTAGCGTTCTGTCCCGGAAGACTGGCCTGGACGTTGGAGAGGTAGGCTTCCCAGGCGCCAGGTAGGATCAATGACTGACGGGAGGAAATGTATACAGATTCGGAAGGACTTAGAGCCTGGGAGCTGCCTGTTCCTGCGTTGCGGACGAGCGGTGTGGTAGGGCATGTTGTCACGACGGGAGCGTAGGCCGCGGCGGCGGCAGCCTGGCCTGTAACGAGCTGGGTATATGAAGAGAGCACGAGGAACAGCGGTAAGGTGTAGGGTGACACCATATATGCGGAGGTAGAAAGTAAGCACGTTCAATCTGTAAGCAGGCTATTCCAGTCAGAGAGCAGGCGTTATGGCGTTCTTTACAGCGCTCTCCCACTTTGTACGATCAACTCGCACTTATATTGCTCTCGTACTGTGAGCTTTACGTGATTGCTTCTGATCGGCGCAGTAGACTCGTGGGAGACCTTGCAAGCAGTGCAATCCTCGCTTAGCAGCAGCTGAGGCCTTTGTCAGTTTCACTGCGCACGTCAGTCCACCGCGTCGCCGCCGTGAGATGTACCGAGCGGGCAAACGGCATCTGCACGAAAGGCGGCCGGGGTGTAATACAGATTTGTTCGCATGATTGAGACGTACAGTATATCCATGTCTGCGGGCATGAGCGGGGGTCATGTTGCTGACGAGGTCCATGACTTATGTTGGACGTTCGGAGGCTGCGTGATTGAAGCACCTAAATATCAAGAAAGACCGTTGTGGGCGATCTCAGAAGAAGACCCATCAAAATGGATGATGTCAAACCATGGGGGTTTTAGGTTCATAGCAATCGAGTGCTCTGCGATGTGGTCGACGCTGGAGAATAGCCCTAGGTTGAGGTACTTGAATATATATTCGTTGAGCGTACTTTCCCAATCTGGTCATGAGATGGACATATCCAATTGCCACGGTAACGTTAATAATACAGTAAATCCAGCACAACTCGCTGGTTCCTTCCACCTTGGCTCTTGGATCATTAAACAGACATACAAAGGAGAATTGAAGGGGAACGACGAGAAAGTCGACGCGTCTCGACCGAGTGCTCATCCGGACACCGACTTACTAGCCTTCACAAGAGATGGCTCATTGAAGTACGCTGCGTTTCAGCGCTTCTGGAGCTGAAGTTGGTCAGCCAGCCGCCGAGGTCGTTGATGTTGCTCGAGATGGATTCGTCCAAGATGAAGTGCGCGATGGTCGGGAGGACTGGATCCGCCTAATGAGGCGGCAAGGTATGAGACGGATTGGAGGATAAGTACCTATTGTCTGCAAGCGGCCGTCCCGCCCTCAGGTGCGCAACACCGCCTGGTGCCCGTGTCTGGTGTCTGCTCGCCGTTGAGTGCGCGGGATGGTTGTCGCTGCGGGACGGCGCACCAGGTGCGGTTGCCAGTGAGTATGGGCGCTTGACGTCGCTCACCCCTGTTGAGTCAAATTGAGCTGCAGGAGCCATCAGTCAACCCCGCCATGGTAGACATCGAGTCTAATTTGCAGTATAGGAGGACTGAGGAATCTCATAACCAGAAGCGTCGCCACTTAAAAGAGGAACCAGTGCGATAGGAGACAATGCCTGCGCAAGCCGACGGTATCAGGCCCCGTGCTTCGTCGTGCATCGGTCAGAGAGCAGTTATGATGAGGTTAGCTGGAGCCATAGGATCGCACAACGGGGCACAGTAATACTGAGAGCGCTGAGCAGAAAAGGCGGCGAAGACATAAGCAGACTCGGTGTTGACGGTTGTTTGTGCCGGCGCAGGGGGGGAAAGAGCGAGATGCAAATGGGTAACGATGTCTAATCTCTTTCCTCTGCCCACCATCTCGTCTTCTCCGTTGGCGCAGGCTCCCCAACATCTGCTGTATTATTTCTGGGGCTGTGTCACAGGGCTGCCTATGTGATGCGACACGATGCGACCGAAGCTGCAGCGCTGGGCCTCCTGGGCCTCAATGCCTCGTTCGACACTCTCTCGACCGTCCCCCTCAAACGCAAAGCGATGGGCGAGTCTGCTGGAAATCGCCTAGACGACGACGAAGACACCTCGGACTCTATCAACTGCATCTGCGGCTTCACTTACGACGACGGCTTCTCGATCGGTTGCGACTCCTGCGCCCGCTGGTGCCATGCGGCCTGCTTCGGGATCGTCGACTCTCAGGTCCCAGAGGAATGGCAGTGCTGGGTGTGCAGCCCCCGCCCCATCGACAGAGACCGCGCCGTCCGCATCCAGAAGGCGCGCCAGAGAGCCGCGCTCGACCTCGATAGGCAGAAGCGGCGAGTCAGCAGTCCAGGCGTGGACAGGAGGGCGCGACGGGCAAGCGCAGCAGCGATAGACGGGGGCGGCCAGAGCAAACGGAGAAGGAGGCCGTCCATCAACGTGCAGCCGACGGGCGAGGATGAGCACGTCGACATCGACGAGCCGTGGACGCACAGCTACGTCTCGATAGAGAAAGACATCATCCCCCGCGACGACACCCGCGAGAGGCTACGCCGTGCCGCGGCGCAGTGGCGAGGCGTGACTGCCCTCGAAGGCGAATCCTCGACAACGACGTCCCCCACCACGACGCCCGTCTTGTTGACGCCCGACGGCTTCCCCTCATCTTCACCCATTCATCTCACTGCCCTCACAAAGTCCGCGTTCCACCCCGCCCTCTCCCTGAGCGTCGACCCTTCCCTCCGCCCCCCTTCTTACGCCGTCCACGCTGCTCGTTCTATTCCCTCCTCGTCCTTTATCACCCCGTTCACGTCCACCATCACCCCCTCTACCGCTTATCTGTCCGACCCCCTGAACGCCTACGCCCACCTCAGTATGCCAAAGCCCTTTGTCCACCTTATCGGCCCTCCCCTCGACCTCGCCCTCGATGCACGGCAGACCGGAAACCAGAGTCGTTTCGTGCGCAGCGGTTGCAGGCCGAACGCCATCCTGCGACCTGTGCTGTGCCCTCGCAAGAAGCGAAGTATGTCAGATCAGCGCGTCGAGGACGACGGCGAGCACGATGACGAAGATGCGCTGACCTTTGGAATATTCGCGCTACGGGACCTGAAGGCCCATGAAGAGGTCGTGTTGGGCTGGGAGTGGGACGACGGGAGCGTGATCCATCATCTGCCGGCGCTGATGAACAGCCCGCACATCTTCCCGTAGGTGTTCACATCCTTCATGCCCGTGTATGCGCCTGCTCACGTCTGTCGTAGGCCCCATCAGCTGCACCAGTACCGCCAGCAGCTGATGTCGATGCTGCACACGCTGTCATCGACCTTCGCTACCTGCGCATGCGGATCAAAGACACGCGACTGTGCCCTCGCCCGCATGGCCGAGTTTATCGACTCGCACACGCCGCCAACGCCGTCGCCGTCACCACCCACCCCTTCCGTATCGGACCGCGATGGCTGGTTAGGTGTGCGGGAGGGGGCGAGCGCCAGAGAGGAGGACGAGCACCTGGGTGAGTGCATCAGGCGCCGCGTCGACCTGGGTCCTCTGGTCGGGCGCGAGCGGGGCTTCAGGACGCGCGAGCGCGTGCCGTCGTCGGGCGGGATGACGGGCGTCGAGATGGTTCCGCCTCCACGCGCCCTTGTTGCGCCGCGACTACAAGAGCGTCAGACGTCGGAGGGCGGGCGCGGGCGTTTCGCAGGGCATGGACGCGCCGTCACGCAGCCTGAGCGCGAGTCAAAGACAAAGGCTGCGCCGCGTGCGTCCTCCGTGCCGCCAGCCCATCACGCAAGGGACCGCAAGGGCAAAAGCGGAGCCGTGCCCGCTGCGGTAGAGGACAAGGACAACGCGATGGAGGTAGATGAGCAGGAGAAGGAGGAGCGCTTGCCGCCTAAGCTGCGTAAGGGCTGGATCAGGAAGAGTATTGAGACGCTACGGGACGTCTACCAGCGCGACGCTGGGGACGCGTTAACAGTTTCCCATAACGAGGTGGGCGCGGCAGGCGAGCGCGACGATACGCGGATGGACATGGATGAAGTCGCATTTGGTGAGTCCAGTCGACTGATGTCGTCCGGACCATGCACTGACGGCATGTCGCCGCTCCTAGATCCGCGCGAGATGCCCCCACCGCCTTTGCCCCTACCTCACGCTGTCTCGCATCAGTCACTGAGCCCCCGACTTTCTATTCTCTCCTCCACCTCGCCTGCCCGTGCGCTGCTTAACCTGACACCGACCGATGGACAGATATCCCCTTCGACTTCTTTCGCTAACTTATCGCTGCTTTCGCCTTCTCTCGCCTCGCCTCTTTCGTTCTCCTCTGCTAGTCGTCGCTCGTCCTCTCCTGCTGCTTCCGCCAATGTGCATGTATTACCGCAGACCGTCCCTGCCGAACTGTCGTTGCATCAGCTTTCGTATACTACTGCTGAGCTGAGCCTGACACCCACCGAAGACACGCATTCCCAAGCAGTAACCCGGACGCCGCCTCCTGTCGCAGATCCCGCCGCCTCCCTGTCCTCGTCGTCTCCGAGGCTACTCTCCAGGGTCACCATCAAGTTCTCGTCGCCCGCTCTAGAGTACTCTCCTGACAAACATGACACTAATCCCGTCGATGCCACCGACCTTCCCGCGCAGCTGAGTCATGATCCTGACACAGTTGCGTCTGTAGAACCGCATCGCGGCACTATTGATGCACGTCCATCGGCAGAGGCGGATGTCAAATCTGTCGTGTCTAGTGGTACACCGCCATCCGTCGACGGCACATCCTCGCCTGCACCTTCTTTGCCGGCTGTCACGTCGCCGCTGAAGGTCAAGATGTCTTTGAAGGACTTTGCAATGCGACGCAAGAAGCAACGGCAGGAGCAGACGCAGACGTCCCCGTCAGTTGCCCCCACTCCGTTGGAGCACGCGAGCTCGAACGACGTGACGCGTGTAGTGGAGTCGCCTCATATCTGTACGCACGAGCAGGTGCCCCCAGCATCTCCCGATTGCGCTAGACCTTCTGCCAGCTTGTGTACAGCGCCGGATCCTCCCTTGCCAACGCGCGAGGCATCTCCGCTCCCAGTGCCAGAGTGGGCTCGCATTGTCGAGCTGCCTGAAGACTTAGACACACGTCTTTCCACCCCTGTGTCCCTGCACGCCAAGGTCGAATTGCTCGAACAAGGCCTTCCCAGTGCAGCGGTGGACAATCGCTCACGTTCTCTGACGCCCCTTCCCCCAGAGCCTCCGCCCCTGCCAAGTGAAACCGCAAAGCGCTCTACATCCCCCGATGAAGGCACCATCAGCACCGATCCTAAAACCTTCCCCATCCGTTCTCAAGAGCCTGCCCATCGCACGATACAGGAGGATGGCGAGATCCTCAGTCCGCCTCCTCCGAAGGCGCCATCTTACCTGGCACGTTCTCGGTCGCCTCCTACGCACCCGCGATCGTTTCACTCGAGCGGCGCTGAGCCGTCACACCTTCCTCCACGCCGCCCTCTCTATCCAGCGCCGCATCGCGCAATGCAGAATACTGCCCCTCCGTCGCGCCCATTGCCCAGCGGCCCACGCGCTTTGCGAACACCGAACTACCCTACGTACCCGCCTACGCTCTCTATCCGTGCGCCCCCCGGCGTTCCTCGAGGCCCATCGGCAGACAGAGACCGTCCTGAATGGGACCGTGAACGAGGATGGCCTGGACATGCACGAGGGCGCGGGCGCGGGATGAGTGGAGGGTGGATGCGGTGAGCTATTATGGTTGTTTTGTATGTTTATTGCTTTCGATGCTTGTTCTCTATAGATACGTAATACAGCGGTCATCGAGCCTAATGTGCAGCTTGTATACTTGATGTTCCTCTCTTGATGACTTGCTTTGTGTGCTAGTTAATCGAGAACTGAGAATGATGAAGGGTTGGAAATGGCAGTCGATAATTACGGTAGTAGATCACATGACCGCGTACTTACACCAATCGTTCTGTTACTGTACTTGGTTCCTTACGTCTTTGCTGGCTGCGAGCCGGGTCAAACACCGTCAATTGTATCGTCTCAGCTTCCTGTCTCACTCTCACACTCGCCCGTCGTGCATCAGCTATGTCGGATGTAAACGACGGTAACGCAAACGGATTCGACGCCGCCATACACGCAGCGTGTTCTAGCGCGCGCGCAGACTGATGGCACATATGCGTCGCAGGCAACGAGGCGTATTACATGTATCGCCGGAGTGACTCGTCCAATGGTCAATGCTGCAGGCCCGGGACGAATTATTCGTGAGTACGCCTCGCGCCTTCTTGGCCGTCTTTCACAGGCTTCTCCAGAGTGCCGACAAAACTTTAGGCGGCGGTGTGCAACCAGGGCATCCGGCTCGAAGAACGACTGTACAACCTGTTCTGGTATCTATGTTCATGGTGCGTCGCGCCTGCCCTGTGGTCACTTCAGCGTCTGACGCGTGAGCCCTTTGTCTGCCGCCTAGGTTCTAGCGAGTGCATATCTCACAACGCGTCATGATGAGCGCCTCGCTGATTGCTCGACAATAGCAGCATGTACACGCTCGAGGTTGCGCAGCAGGATCAGGCCGCAAACAACGACAGATTCGCGTATTGCGAGAACGCGGTGATATCGTTCAAGTCCAGCAGCACTCACACCCGCACCCGCACCACACCAGCCGCGCCCCCGAGCACCAGTTGTGCGCTGTCCAGCTCGACAACGCCGGGCTCTTCCGGTCCCGCCAAGCCTACGTCCAGCCTCCCCTCAAGCTCTGCCCCCGGCTCTAGCTCCAGCTCCAGTGCAGGACAATCCACCCGCACGCCGCCGTCGCCATCTTCGGTCGTGACAACGGTCGAGACGCGCATGATGGTGAGCGGCGTCGCCACGTCCGTTGCGCTTGTCACTAAGGTCGCCGTCCCGTACGTCTCATCCCCATTCGCCAGCGCGAGTACGAGCGCGACGGTCATCACCATAGGTACAGCGACCGGCGGACACGAGATGAGCACAGGCGCAGTGGTCGGCGGCGCGCTGGGACTCATCGCGCTCCTGGTGGCGGCGCGATGTGCATGAGGCGGCGCAAGGCACACTTTAGAGCGTCAGTGATAATATTGTATATCTGTACGTCACACTACTGCATAGTGTCTTCTGACCCCATGCGTATCTGCCAGCCATCAGGAAGCGCCAATGGAACACAACGGTCCTGCAACGAGGCCGCCATCGTCGTTGTCCTTTCATCACTGCCCGATGATCATGAGTAATAGATACAGTTTGATGGGTGTGCACCGGTGTACCACGCTTTAGCATGACATTCCCTCTCGCCAGCCTAGGTGACCGAGGCGTGTTCGGGACCCTGAACCTTTTGTGCAGAGATCACGCTCCGGCGGATTGCCACGTTTGTCACCCTGTTGTATGTATGTAAGCATGTTATGGCCAGTTGGACGCAAGCTAAGGTGCGGATGCAAGCGAGAGAAAATTGAATAGAACTAAAGCGTGGAAATGAGGCCTGCTACCGTGAGCCTTCCATTGCACCCGTTATTCCCGTGCATGCTGTTTCTTAGCTGTTTCGTTTGGTGACATGATTACCTGTAGTGAGATCGAGAACCAAGACGTCGACTGCAATCGGCTCTGAGGATGCGTACAGAAGGCCGTGGATGGACGCGATCAGACAAAATAGCATCCCGCATCTTGGATGATCAAGAACGGCGTGTTGAAGGTGCGTCAGCACTTTCTTCTGATAGCGCATCTACCGCTTAGTAGGGCTATGCGTAGACATTCATACAGGCGCAATCGAAGCGAGGCACACAATTCAGCTCTGTCTAGCGCAGGTCTTCGCTAATTGATGCTGTGCGACCTAGGACCACCAACATGCGGCGCGAGTAGCGAAAGTGGGTCTCGAGCAGTGGTTCCGCGACCGGGGTTCGGTGTACTCGAATATGCAGCCGTCCTCGATGTAAATTCAAACCAGAGCTGCATAAAAGCACCAGAGTACTGGCGTCATCCCCGTAAGCATTGTTCCACCTTACAACGTCTCTCCGATGCCCAAAGATATTTCTTCAACGATCAGATACCAACAACTGTTCCGAGCTGAGTCTCGCGAGCAGCGTCGTTATTGCCCTTACAAGCAGTGCGAGCGTCCTTGCGTAAGTGCATGATCATTATCTCGTATCAGTCATTATTTTGATATACCTTGCATGCTATCGTTAGTACAACCGGGAGGATGGCATTATTTCTACTGCGGTTGATCTTACATATCATCATTGAACCTATCCAAAGACTGACCCTTCTGTTAAGACTGATGCTTGGCTCCAAGTTCCTGAACTTGATGAGCAGAAAGAGGACATTTGACCGGATGGTGTGGCTGAACATCATTGATTTCTGAGTAGTGAGTAGTGAGAGTCATGTTCTCTGCTGACTACAAATTAAGCAATGGCTTGTGTGTAGGACAGCCCACGGGGCCTTACGGACGATAGTATGCTCAACGACGAATGTCCGTACTGCCGCTGTCATTGCTGTTTTGTTATCTGCTCTGCTGTCTATTGTTTTCGTTGAATATACAGTCTTATTGCTGAAGAGAGGGTGCGTTTTACGTGACGGATGCGTCGGAGTGTGAGGACGTGTGACGTCAGGTCGGGCGGCGGGCTGAGAGGGTTGTGCCTCGTCCGCTGTCCCCTATTCTTAACGTTAACACTGACACCCCATGGTCCACACAGAGCAACTCACCCACTTTCCTAGAGTCCAGTCGACAACCCGACACTCGTTTCGAATCAACAGAGAATCTTGCTACTGCACTAAGTGGCAATCCCCTTCTCCAGGCCGACACTGATGCCATTGTGCAGGCCGCCGAGCTTGACCCAGACAAGAATGACATTCAGCTCGACCTCAAGGACCCCGAGGTTAGGGACGTCAGTTGGAAATAGACCTCGCGCAGCTTTCTCCAACCGTCATGAACGGCCTCTCGAATGAGAACCTCTTTGCCCTCATTCAGCGCTTTGATAAGGTATGTGAAGTCCCTATTTTACTTGTCTATTTGAACTAATTCCCTGCTCAACAAATCCTTTATGCGAAGGTGATCGTGCCGCCTCCTCCGGGTGATCTCAACCTCGACCTCTCAGAGAATGAAGAGTTTTCCTGACAAGCTTCGCGCACACTTGGAGCATTTTGAATGACGGACATAAGCTTCCATTCGACAGTCTCTATTCAATCAGGAAGTCAATTTCCCTCAATAGATCGTGGGCGTAGCTACATCAGGGAAGCATATAGCCCGTATTCGTTCGTGAAACGAGCCGTTGCACACAGCCTGCTTCCGCTTGTCCCATTGCACCCCTTGATATGTACAGGTTACCTTTGCGTTCAACTTGCGGTCCACAGGCCACCCACTCCGCTCTGTGCTCGCCCCCAGCCATCGTGCATTTACTCAGACCTCCCCCGCGCCTCGCTCCAGGCAGTCTCTAACCCCCGGCGCTAGACCGGCCTATTTGTTTACGACCCTAGATACCTGATGCGCTCACGATGTCGGCCTACACCACGTCTGCTAACGTGAGCGTAATGACAAAGTGACCGATGATGTTGGCCAGAACTCTACGTTATCATCGTCCGCGTCCCTGATCGTCATCCACTAACGCCAGATTGGGCCAGTGTATACCTTTCTCGGTGAGTGCCGTTGCTTTCGCTGACACCTGCACATCCATCGTCCTCACGCCGTGTTGCCAGCCACCCTCGTCCTCCTAGCTATATAACAACGTCCCGAGGGCCCCCTCGGGCACTTTTGTCCCGAGGGGGCCCTCGGGACAACACCTTTTTCTGATTTCAAATGATTCAATCTCGTCAAATCTCCTTGTGCTCATATC